TAATATTATAAAGAGGAAAGATTTGTTTGTTTGTTTGTTTCGAATAGGCTCCGAAACTACTGGACCGATTTGAAAAATTCTTTTTCCATTAGAAGCCGACATTGTCCCTGATGAACATAGGCTACTTTTTTATTTTATTTTCTATTTTTTTATTTTTGGTTTCATGTGTGTTTTAATGTTTCCGAAGCGAAGCGAGGGCGGGTCGCTAGTGACAAAATAAAAACAAAATTCTCGCAAAAAATTTTAAGTTTTTAATTAGCAAATAAAAAATAAGGGTTAGTCGTAGAGGGGTGAAAAATTAGGGTTGTATGTATTTTTGTATGCTGTATCATAAAAAAATAAAAACAAAAATTTTTGTCTAAAAAATAAAAAATAAAATTTAGGGGTGGACTACCCCTAATATTTAGGGGGATGAAAAATAGATGTTGGTCGATTCTCATAGATACCGGATAAGCACAAAAAATTTCATCAAAATCGGTCAAGCCGTTTCGGAGGAGTATGGCAACGAAAACTGTGACACGAGAATTTTATATATTAGATTATATAAGAAAAACATCTGAGTTAATTAAAATTCTTGATTATCTATAATTTCATTGTATGAATATAATGTTTTAAAAGGAACATGCTTCAGAATGAAATTTGTTTGAAAATTAAAACAGTTGTACTGATTTATTGCCGACCAATAATAATATCGATGCTATGTAACTCTAGGAAATGGTAAAGGAATCATTACTTGAATGAAAATAAAGTTTAAAATAGTGTGTACCAATCGTAAGTAACATTTGATTGTTGGGGTTCGCAAGTGGACCGTTCTTGATTGTTCGTAAATTGTACTTATCAGTTGCAAATTTTATTTTTAGTGTTTGTTCTTACTCGATTGATTGATTACATTTTTCAGTACGCTTTTTTTTTATGTCAGATTTTGTAGAATGGGCAAAATCGCGTTCCCTGAGCATTATACCGTAGTGCGATCGCCAATTAGTATTTACGTGCAGGGGTGGAGGCTTGTATTTGTAAGTTCACATGGGTAGGTATCAGTTTCTTACCTACTTACTTTTGCCTCGAGGCAGTCGTGCCTCGATTTAGACCACGCACCAGAGAAAACTTAACACCAGGTCGATTGTAACCTGCTCACCGAAATTAGCATTTAAAAACCCCTTTTTGGTCGTCGGTATTGTAGTGCATCTCCCATCGACCGGTATTTAATTTTATTTACAATTTGTAATAGACTCTCCTATGCTTCCGCCTTTATGCAAACTTTCAAATTAAACGCTTTGTACAGCTCTAAAGCAGTATAGGTATTGATTGAAAATGCCATTGAAGATCAGGATACAAATTATATTTCACGCAATCGACCAGGTGCGGATTTAGTCAATCCCCGTAAAATTCAACAAGCAGTTGCGGAATAGTCTTGTCAGTTCAAACGTTGGGAGTAATCTTGGAACTACTCTAAAACGGAAAGGTTCCTGTTATCTAATTTAACTGTTGATGGTGTTAAAATCCTATGCGGGCGGGTACAGTAAACCTTGTAATTTGCATAATGTCGACTTTGGAAAATATTGTGAAAATTTGTATTCCCTATCACAAAAATAGCGTTGATCCGATCGCAGCGCTGTCGGATTTTGGATTATCCGGATGTGTAATCCAGAACTCAAAGTACATATATGAAATCGAGTCGGTGTGCAAGGTCTATTTATAGTGATTCTGTACAAAATGGTTTTTTTCCCCTACGTAATCGTTCGTAGCCTAAGGGGCTAACTGCTCACGGACCGGTGGATGAGCTCACGGGCTCAACCTAACAGAGAGGTGTTAACTCTGACCCTAGTAAGAGCAGTGCTTTTCTGAATCTACAACAGATCAGAATCGCAACCCACTGAGAAGATCCGACGAGAAACTGGTACTAAATGGTTCTTTTTTTCATTTTTACTGTCGTTGTCTATGGACATGAATACGGCCTACTCAATGGCAAGTAGTCGCCGTCGCTCATGGACATCAACAAAGCCAGCCTGAGTACTGTAATTTCAATGAACTAGCAAGTTCTTTACTTTTTTAATTATATAAATTTCGTTTTGTACAAAAGTCAATACAACCACGCTTCTGTCGTTGATGTAATTTTCTGTTATTGACTGCCTGGAGGAGATCGCTTACAGTGATAAGTCAACCGTTTTTTTTACTGTTCTATTGTTATTGAATATTGTTTATCGAGTAAATAAATAATTAAACCCCCAAAATAACTATTTAATGTTGAAAATTTGAAGTAATGTATTAGCCAGCCAGCGACATTACTAGATCGATTTCTGAATAAATATAATAGTAATCCACATTGATATTAATATATTTCTCTGGAGCAGGATAGAAACGTTACAATAGTTTAGTATATATTACATAATGTCACAGGTCTGTTTTTTTTTAAATTTAAAAACAATAAGTTCACTTATTATTACGTCCTTTTCACATCGCGGATCAATGGGTTTTTGCTAAGTCCTAAAAAAATTTGATACTTTCAAGTGTACGCAATGTCATACTTTTAAGCTTAGGTACAATATGTGAATTCAGTTTTGATGGAAATCACAATGTTTTGTATGAATAACTTTACATTGATGGGCCTAATTTGGATAACACAGTCTTGTTCTTGAGTGTTGTTTCTGCATTACCGATTTGTAAATTTTTGAAAGTTTTCAGTTTAACACGGGCATCGGTACACCGTGAACGTTAAATTCAAACGACTTGGGTTACGGTTTTTCTTTACGATAATGTGCAAAATAGTGTCGATTTTGATTGAAACAAAACATTTGGTGGTTTCTTTTATAAAGTCTCATCTTTGTTTCCGTAAAAAAAAATCAAAGAAAATTCCCATTTGTTATCTGCGTAATCGGAGGTAAGATGCAAGATCTTGCTGACAAAATATGACTGTGGAAATTTAAAGGACGACGAAAAATCGCATGCACATCTGTTGATCCTTATAAAATCGGTGCCGGGATATTTAAATACATAAAATATTATTAATAATAATTCGTAGATATTTTAGTTAACGATATAAATAATTAATGATCCATAAAATGTTTTAGATCGCGTCTTTTTTTAATTGTTCTGTCCTTTGTACTTGAAACGAAAGATCATTGAACAGAATCGTTTTGACGTATTGCCGCGCGCTTATTTCAAATTCGTGTGACATTTCGCATCGTCGCAACGTCTGTGATGCGGCCTTTGGTTAGATAATAAATAAAGCTAGAACATCGTCACACATCTAAACTCTGTTTCTGCTCTTAGAGATTAGTTTATCGCGCGCCGAAAGCTTGGCAAATGTTTTGTCCGTATTTGATTTCATGTTTCCTGACTAATCTAAGGTTACACCGATGGCCTGTACTATGGGATCGCGGCTTCGATACGGGGCATGTACAACTTTATTTTATTCCAAGTGTTTCGGGAAGTGTTCATACATTCTGGTCCTCCTCAGTGCACTAAAGGCTATTCAAAAATGTTTGACCTGTGTTTTTTTAACATCATCATCACATTACATTACATTACATATTATATACACATACATATACACTGATCAATTGCCGTGCGTAAGATTCTCAAAAAGTCGAAAATTACCGATTGACTATTTTTTTTGTTTTGCCCCCTCGTTGTTGGTTTGGTTTAAAAAAGAAAATTGATTATGTTTTTATTATGGAAATTGCCTATTCGAATTACTCTCAATATACTTACGAAGTCATTGAATATTTATACGAATTAAGGGTGAATTAAACTTGATTTAATTTATATTTCAGCAAAATGGCGGTTAAAAAACGTGAACTCGTTCAAGACAACTGCCAGCTGGATTTGAAAGCGCTGGCGCAGTACATCCAGATGATGAATGATCAACCCAACTACCTCCCGCAAGCCCTGGACTTGATTAAGAACTGTCAAGATATTGTTAAATGCCTCAGTAAGTCTCAATTAACTGGTATTTCATTTAAAATTAATAATGATTTGGTATTGAAATTCGTTAGGAACATGTATGTAATATCACAATAAGAAATTGAAACTAATCTATATATTAATTCGTGAAGCAAAAACTTTGTACCCCTTTTTACGAAAATTGCGCGGACGGAAGAGTATGGAATTTCCCACACTTATAGAGAATACAGAGAAGGAGTGCACAATGCTAATATTTTAAAAAAAATTATGGATTAAAAATACATTAATCAATTTTACGTACATTACACACACTACCATGTATTTGACACAACACATACATATAAATATACTCAATTGTGAAACTTTTGTTATTTTTTAAAGTCTGTGGTTAAATTGAGAAAAGATTAATATTGTTTGTCTATAATGTTATTTATCTAAAATCTGTCATTATATTAGAAATATAAATAGTTTTTGAAAATATAACCATAATAATGTTTAAACATACAATTTCAATTACCTAACGCTTAATAATAAATTTGTGATCGTATATTATTAATATTACGAACAAAGCTATAAAACGTGTTTCATTATATAGTTTTGTTTTCGTTATAGCTCTTGCTACGGGAAACGAATGGAATCTACTGCAGTCAATTGAAGAGTTCTTTTTGCGCGTTGTTAACCACGTCCATTGCACTTTGCGTCACGAAATCGTAACAGCCGTACTCGACAAACTGTATTCGTTTATATCGGACCCGAGTGAGTTTTTTTTTTATATAACGTTTTATATATTATTATGATATTTGTGAACTGAATTTTCAGTACGGTAAAATCTGTTGAGTCTGTAAATGTGTGAAATGCTCGCGAGATTTTATGCGCACCACATTTGAGCCGCAAACATTGGAACAAGTATTAGATTATTTTTTAATTTTAATTGAAAGTAAGATATATATATATATATATATATATATATTGTGAAGCTTAGCGTTTAACTGTTTGATTATCGGCAAGATAATAAAAATTATTTAACACGTTCACTGCGTTTTGCGGTTTAATATGATCCACGCGGGAATCTCCCCTGGCACGGCAGTCGAAATCGCGCTCTTTCGCTCGACGCGAGAGGTGACTATGTTCACAGTTCTATAGTTATGGGTATATTCAAAGAGGCCTGTCAGATCTCATATGCTCTGTAAATAAGTCCAATCGTTCCTCAAAAAGCTTCATACCCACTGACTCTCCCTCAGAAATGGCCGCGCAGTCAATGTGTTAAAATAAAAACACTTTGGTTATTGTTAAGTTTGTATTGTGTTTATTTTTAGAAAGCCACATTGGACCTCAGACGTCTGTCGTGTTAGTTGTGCTCGATGGCTTAGACGACGCGGCCACAATGTCGAACGCACGTTGGCTGGTCCAACAAGGCGAATCCGGACCGGACGGCGCTGGATTGAGGGCTGCTCTATCAGTCCTCTATTGTTGGATGCACAGCTGGCAAGGAACACCTTTGCTCGGCGATTGGGTCATGGCGTACATAAAAGCTTTGGAGGTAAAAAAATAAATAACACAATAACTTATCTTAAATCTTAATATCTTAATATGTACGGTAGGCAGCGGCTTGGCTCTGCCCCTGGCATTGCTGAAGTCCATGGGCGACGGTAACCACTCACCATCCAGTGGGCCGTATGTTCGTCTGCCTACAAGGGCAATACTAAAAAAAACCTTAGAAAATAATTTCCGTGTTTATGATCGTATTCCGTATAATCTACGCGAGCGTGATGAAAAGTTCTTGTAGTGCTTACGACGTGTCACAGATAGCTTTGGTAATTGAATGTATTTGATAGATTTACAACAATAAATACAAATAATACTTACAGCGGCTGGCTTAGACTAAATAATAGCTTTAAACTAGTCTACATAGAGATTGGACATTTGTTTCTTCGGAGGTTTTAAAAGGTGAACTAAGAAGGGAGTTTAAATAATGTATTTTAGGTAATGGTAAGGTATTTTAAGTCGAAAATAAATTTGCAAGGTTCGGTAAGTTCTGATGAAAGTTTTTTAAAGTCATGATGCCTATTACGTTTTTTAACACTCTTATAAGATTGTTTTTTTTTTCTTGCAGGAAAATGAAAAATTCGAAATATTACTTGATGTCTCTCTCGAGAACCTAGAGAAGTTATTCTTGGCTTTGGGTGAACCCGGAACTTTACGGACTTCGGAGGCGGACGTTGTCATTCACATCTTGGCGTCGTTACGAGAACAGCAAGAGGCTCTTGATAAGGTACTTGATAATAGTTTCGTCGTCGTGGCCTAAAGGATAAGACGTCCGGTGCATTCGTATGTAGCGATGTACCGGTGTTCGAATCTCGCAGGCGGGTACCAATTTTTCTAATGTAATACGTACTTAACAAATGTTCGCGATTGACTTCGACGGTGAAGGAATAACATCGTGTAATAAAAATGAAACCTTCATGTGAGCCCGCGCGGGTAGGTACAACCACCCGGCCTATTTCTGCCGTGAAGCAGTAACGCCTTTCGGTTCGAAGGGTGGGACAAGCTTTGGTACTATTCTGAGACCTTAGAACTCATATCTCAAGGTGGGTGGCGGCATTTACGTTATAGATGTCTACCACGACGATCTTATTTTAACGACTGTGTTTTGCCATACCTTTTATTTACTGCAGTGAATCTATACTAATATATAAAAATCTACAGTGGTTTTTACGGATGTTCCGTTATAACTACTGAACCATGCATCCGACTGACTTTAAACTTAATATCCATGTAGAAAATACATGTACTTAATGGATAGGCTAATATTTATATGAGTGTTGGACACAAAAAGCTGTCTACTGTAACTGCCTTTAAACCTTCTTTAAATATCTATAAGCGCACACTGAAAACTTATACGCGTTCTCGTTTGCCTAGTCGTCACACGTTTGATGTTAAGAATGTATCGCTAATGATTCTTAACAGTTTTTTTTTCTTTTTTTTTATTGCCTAGATCGCCACGAACGTAAGGAAGGTGCTCGGGAATCTGGCCGCGGACAGTCGACAAAGCAGCCGGCAACACTTACAGAACGTCGTCGATATAGTCAATGCTATGGTGGACTACAAAATGGAACCACTCAAAGGAGAGCCATTGGAAACCTTCAAGGACAAATACGAAGATTTGGTGAGACTCGCAATTCGATTTTTATCTTCACAATAATCAGTAAAAAGACGGAAATAAATTAAGATCGCCACAGATTTAAGCAAGTTGTGTAGGCGTTTTTTTATGATACTAATCGGAGAGCGCGCTATTGTACAGTGACGTCGACGTTCAAATGTCAAAGACCAATTTGAATAATTAACATAGCTGTGTCATTAAATTAATTTGTTTTGGAACAACATGGAACAGGCTACATAAGATTGGCGACAGCTCGCATATCTATTGTTAGCGTTTGTACACAGTAAAAGCTTAATCTAACATTGTGATAATAATTTTACATCAGTCAACATAAATCGCACACTTGTTAAGGAATTCTCATGTTCCTAAGAAATACGAGTTGCGATATTTATATATAAAAAGTGTATAATAATGATTCATCTAAAGAATACATTTCACAATGTTAGTGTTAGTTTTTTACTGCAAACGTGACCTAACGAGTGACGTCATATGTAGGTACACACATACAGCAATCGAACTATAATACGAAAGTTGTTAATTAATCTTACTCAAAGATAATAATATTTATTGATAAAATGAGATATTGTTTAATATTTAATGAAATGATAAAAAACCGTAGTTTTTAGTTTTAAAAACATTTTTTTTGTACTTTATATATATTTTTTGTGTTTTATTTGTAGATTTCATGCTTGGAATATCACATGGCATCCCGATGGTCTCGGTTTAAGCATCTCCCGCCATGGAGGCCTCGGGGACTCCCCGCATCGCCTCCGAATTCGAAGCAACCGCCGGCTAGAAAAGTTGGCCTCCTGAATTTGGGCAACACGTGTTACATGAACAGCGTCATGCAAGCCCTGCTCGTTACCAGACAGTACGTAAAGACAATTCAATTTTTAAGTCTAATAATTATATAAAAAAAACGCAATCTTTCGCGAAATAAATGAAAAATAGCTCGTTGTCTCTCTCTGGCGTTATAAATATAAGTTTGACATTTATTGCTTGTACTGAGTTGCGCGTGCTCTTGTTATCATATGCTTGCGAAATTCATGTATTTTTGTTTTAATATTTATTACGCTATTGTTTTGCTCGCTCTCAAACATGCGTAAAAAACATAGTTATATCATATAAATAAACTAGCGACCCGCTCTCGCTTCGCTTCGGAAACTGTAATTTATTATTGATTTCTCCACTATTTAATGGATGTTATTATACATGTAAACCTTCCTCTTTAATCACTCTATCTATTAAAAAAACCGCATCGAAATCCGTTACGTAGTTTTAAAGATTTAAGCATACATAGGGACAGACAAATATAGGGACAGAGAAAGAGACTTTGTTTTATACTATGTAGTGGTTTATTATATAAGCATTAGCGGTATGCAATATGCAAGACAGTAAATACGAGGGTCCATAAATCATTTACAAGAATCGAGTTAGTCGGATGTCGTCAATTGTCCAATATATTATATTATTATATTAATAGGATCAATTTCGTTCTTGAGTTTGCAACTGACTCTTGATATTTTATTACGTTTCAAGGGTGATTTAGTTGTATGCAGACCGTCTAAGGAAGTGTGCCGACGACGTCAATCACACTCATTGTCAATTATAATGTGCACTCAAATATGTTTGCATGTAAGATATTAAGCGAAATCACCTCGCACTCGCCTCGAGGAAATTCGATTGTCATGAATATATTAACACGTCATGATTCCCTAAAAATCTCACTAATATCTGTATAGATTAATATCGATTCAGTTAATATAAAATAAAACACGAAATACGTAGCGGACAGTTTAATTCGTAAAAAAAATACAGTTGTCCCACATTTAAAATAAATTGAATCACACAACCTGTTCTTTTTTTGTTGTTGTAAGTTTACGTATGAATTGTAATGTAGCGTGTGAAACATTCAAGAACTTTATTCATTAATGAAACTTTAAACGGCACACATGTCATTTCTGAATAAATAAAAAATGAAAAAAAATAATAAAACAAATGAAATACAGTGTCAACATTTCGAATGCATTTACCGTTTTTCATTCGTTGCCCGTTCCGATTGAATATACAATAAGGTGTGTTTGTGATGCGATGTTTATTTCATTGCTGACGACAATGAAGTATCTCGATATCCTGTTTATCATCGTGACAATGAAAATATTTGTGAAAAACCGTGGTTTTTAATACTATTTTCATTTGACATCCCAAAATTATCATACCTACGACAACTTCGTATCGTATCGTATCGCTTTTATGAGATATGCATTTTTTTTAAATGAATATTGTTTGTAAGGGATCGTTGGGTTGCCGTGGAAACCGACGATCTCCTCGGTGACCCGTTGTAGCGTAGTCTGATTGTAGTGTTGACCGTGGGAATCTCCCTATCTGCTCGAGTTCTGATCCCCAGCGGAGATCGGACGTCCGGTGAGAAATTGCAAAGGGAGTTATTTGGTGGGTAGGTCCCTAAAACATCATTGCGTACTGCGGCTCGTCAAGACGTCCCCTAGGCGCGAAAATCTCATGCATGAAATTCGGCCGCTGCCTGAAAAAAAAAGCAATCGTAAGATGGGAATCGCTTGATGCTACCTGTCTTAATGACATGCCACAATAATGTTCAATTCGCAACCGGCTTATATTATCCGGCTAAACGATCTAATCGTTTAGTGTACGCTACAGTACCTAATACGAGACGAAACAGTTACTTACGTTGGTAGTAACTGATCCGGTAGAGCAGTACTTAGCGTGATTGATTGGTGGGCTGAGGGTCGTGGGTTCGATTCCCACTTCGGGCTTACATTTTTGTGACGAATATATATTCCTTTGCTTTGTATTTGGGCGCTTAATATTTTTTTTATTTATTTTTTTGTTTTATTGCATGTAGTGCGATTTATTTGCGTCCAGCTAGCTGTGCGAAATCATTGCATTGGCAATGCGTAATTTAACTTCTTCAACGCAAAGCACATGGTTTTTTTTTTATAAATAAGCCAACGTAAATAAGTAGCTTCGACACGAGTCATACAGAAAGCGAATTCTACAAAAGCGGCGATATTGTGTTATTTTAAATTGAACAAAAAAAAAAAAAACAACTGTAACACGTAAGGTATGCTTGCGATTTTCAATACCGGCGAAATGGATAATCGCTAGTTTCTCCATCACTTGCAGCATTAACGAGTTGTTGGTGTGAAATCCGGTGTTCCGAACGTTTTTGTTTGTTTGTTACAGCTTCAGCACACACGTTATGATGAAAATGAACGCCGTACCGTACTGGTCGAAGATGGGGATACTGTTCGCCAAAATGATGCACTCCTACAACACGAAGCTGAATCCTGACGAATTCTTCAATGTCGTGAAGCCTCCGTTCTTCACAGTTAATAACCAACACGATAGCTCTGAGTTTTTAGGGTAAGTCCTCGTGTGTATTAAAATCTTTTTATATCTTGAAGTCGTCGTGGCCTAAAGGATAAGACGTCCGGTGCATTAATATCTAGCGATGCACCGATGTTCGAATCCCGCAGGTGGGTACCAATTTTTTTAATGAAATACGTACTTAACAAATGTTCACGATCGACTTCCACGGTGAAGGAATGACATCGTGTAATAAAAATCAAACCCGCAAAATTATAATTTGCGTAATTACTGATGTTAGGACCTCTGGTGAGTCCGGACGGGTAGGTACCACCGCCTTGCCTATTTCTGCCGTGAAGCAGTAATGCGTTTCGGTTTGAAGGGTTGGGCAGCCGTTGTAACTATACTGAGACCTTAGAACTTATATGTCAAGGTGGGTGGCGCATTTACGTTGTACACGTCTATGGGCTCCAGTAACCACTTAACACCAGGTGGGCTGTGAGCTCGGCCACTCATCTAAGCAATAAATAAAACAAAAAACTATACTCTATACTAATATATAAATCTACAGTGGTTTTTACGCATGTTCCGTTATAACTACTGAACCATGCATCCGATTGAATTGAAACTTGGTATCCATGTAGAAAATACATGTCCTTAATGGATAGGCTAATATTTATATGAGTGTTGGACTCCCTAATTAATAATAATGACAATAAATAATAATGTCAATTTTAAATGCCCAGCGAAGCGAGCGAGTACGGCTAGTCTTTTTATATAAATCGATATTTTGTTTAAGTGATGGAATTCATATTATGATGTCAGTAACTAATTAACAATAGGCGGACCGTTTTACTCACCCACCTAAGCAATATAAATGAAAGTTAAATATGCACGAGGCTATATATAGTGTTACTTACGTAATAGTAATTGCTAGTAAGCTATATTAATGTTTCCACATTAATATAAGGCTTAAATTCGATGACAGGAATCGAAAAAATCCTGCATCTCGATACGAACGATATAGAAATAAGGTTTAGCTCTCTAGCCCGCTTATAATGGCCTTATGAGTACCTATAACGAATACCCGTCCTTACGGATCCATTAGATCCAATAACCTTTGCATTAGACGTCTTTAGCTCTAACACTAGGAGCAGGCTTAGGAACCCCGGTAACCGAAATCGTCGAACTCGACAAAGAGGTCGACGTGAAACCTAACCTAAGCATCAGCCCGCCGAGTTTCTCGCCGGATCTTCTCAGCAGGTCGCGATTCCGATCCGGTAGTAGATTCATTCGCGAAGCAGCTGCTCTTGAGTTGTTAGGTCTCCTTCGGAGGCGCTCGGGCAGCTGTTAGTAAATCTCGCCCCTCCTGGCGGAGCCTCTGCTCGCCCACCTGTCCTGGTGAAACTGGAAAGGCCTTCGGGCCACCAGTAATCATTCCATCATCATCCATTCTATCAAAAAAAGCTATAACGAATATAATAAATACGCGATCGAAAGGTAATAAAATAAAGCGAATATCAAGTGCTCAGATTTAAGTGTTGTTAATTTAAAATCGTTTCAACGAACGATAGCTTAAACGGCGTTTGTTTTTTATTAACGTATACTATTGTATGCTGTCTGTGTAGGGCACCATTTCTCAAAGTGTGGGCGCTGCAGGCCCAATGGGGGGCGGTAAGAGACCCAGAAAAAAATGGGGGCGTTGTGTAGAGGCTTGGGAGGCGATTTGTAATTTCATCTCGGACTTTTAAACACCGACTGAGCTTTCGCTTTTAAGTAGGTGAAAAAATGGGGGCGCTAAAAAATAATTTATTCTCAAAGTGGGCAGTAGACAAAATAAGTTTGGGAACCACTGGTGTAGCGAAATGAGCAGAGTGATAATGGTCTCTGTATTTAATACAAGAACTAGAGGGCCTGGAATAAAAGGGTTAGGGAGGAAAATAGGATAACATTTTATATGAGCTAATCTGAATTTCGGGGAGCACTGAGGTGTTTGGCACAAATATAATTACATATAGAGCCTTGTCCATGTATAAGGATAAAAATGGTGAATTACTAGGAAAGTCTGGTAACGCTTCGTCGCCACAATGGCGTAATTGTACGAAATAAACCGGTTTCTTGTATATTCGCGCGTCCCAGATCCTACGTTATTAGTAGTAATACGGATGAAATGCATACATGACAAAGACAGCATCGAACACTGATTGTTATTTTTACAGATAGATAATACGTTACAAGTAAATTTAGGTAGTGTTACGTTATAATTAAATGAAGTTAATGCACAGTAGATCATTTTAATTAGATAAACTATTAGGGCGCGATCCGTCGATAGATCGACTCTCTTAATGCTTATAAAGTGCGGAACATCGGAATACCGACTAATGCGCAGTTTTTCTTACCGAAACGTACGGACGTGTCTTAGCGCGCGAATGTATAATATTTAAAAAAAGTTTGTAACATTTATAAATAAACCATTCAATGCAACCAAAAAACCCATCTAGATTTAAAGAAAATAATTAAGATTATGTGCACTCTTGAAAAATCCTTTACAATCTCTGGAAAATATGTGAAAATAAGCTCAGCATTAAAAGGGCATAATCATTCGTAGTGAAATCAAAATTTTGAATGTAAAATGCATTCGAAGTTTAAATAAAACAACAAAGTACGGGTGAGTTAAGGCGAACGCTCAAATGTTTACGATTGGCTTCCACGGTGAAGGAATAACATCATGCAATAAAAATCAAACCCGCAAAATTATAATTTGCGTAATTACTGGTGGTAGGACCTCTTGTGAGTCCGCACGGGTAGGTACCACCGCCCCCCGCCTATTTCTGCCGTGAAGCAGTAATGCGTTTCGGTTTGAAGGGTGGGGTAGCCGTTGTGACTATACTGAGACCTTAGAACTATATCTCAAGGTGTGTGGCGCATTTACGTTGTAGATGTCTATGGGCTCCAGTAACCACTTAACACCAGGTGGGCTGTGAGCTCGTCCACACCTCTAAGCAATAAAAAAAAAAAAAATTAATCAGACGACTCGCCGGTTCCAGGTATTTGTTCGTGCTCCTCCAGTCCTACGAACACTGTTCGGACGTGAACTTTGATTATTCTCGGCAAGCTGTCATGACCGCCGGCACACGGCAGACCAGATCATCTCACGCGTCACAAGCCTCGCACGCCGCGCAACCGACACAAGGGGCCGGGTAATTTCGATTTAATGTAATAATATTTCAGGTTTACTGGTGGTAGGACCTATTGTGAGTCCGCACGGGTAGGTACCACCACCTTGCCTATTTCTGCCGTGAAACAGTAACGCGTTTCGGTTTGAAGCGTGGGGCAGCCGTTGTAAACTTTACTGAGACCTTAGAACTTATATCTCAAGGTTGGTGGCGCATTTGCGTTGTATATGTCTGTGGGCTTCAGTAACCACTTAAACACCAGGTGGGCTGTGAGCTCGTCCACCAGTCTAAGCAATAAAAAAAACACGTGTGGCACTCGGGGACTGCCGCGTTAAAGCTACTGCATAGCATTTTTTATCAACTTATGCAATTATAATTAGAAAATAATAATTTAATATTAAAATCATAAAAAAACAAGACCACGCTATATTTATAAACATTAACAAAAGCAAACCATTAACTGTCCCATTCACACTCATAAGCTAGACTGCGCGAGAGAGAGATGGGCAGACTTTTCATGATGCGCATGCAGTGCGACGTCACTCCGCGCGCTTATTCACAAACACTACACAAGCGTAACGTGTGAATGTGTTGAACGCGAGCTACAGGGTAGGCGGTGTGGGGGGGTGTTAGGTATTATTTTTAATTTTATAAACAATTTTTAATTAAATAAAAACGGTTTGCGTACGGTTACATGGCTAAGGTTGGCTAAAATCTTGAGAGGAAGGTAGTCCACACAGGCGAAACTGCGGGCGTAAAGCTAGCGATTAATAAAAACTATATAAATTTGACAACAGCAATCCACAACTTTTCTTTTTTTTAATAAAATTTACTAATGTTTGCCGTCGATATACAGGGTTTATGACGGGACTAAATATAAGTATAATAGTTTGCGTTCCTCTACATTTGCTCACGAGTGTGTATTATATTATTAAACCAGTTGACCCGGCAGACTTAGTAGTGCCTCGATCGATAAATAAAAGATCTAAACTTTTGTATAAAATAAACTTAAAACAAACAAAAGGAATCCGTTCGACGGGGGACACATCAAAGGAAAAACAAAAAAATTTATTTTTATTTAATTCCGAGTTTTTTCATAGTTATTCACCTTTTAAAACTTCTCTGGACTTCTACAAATAATTCAAGACCAAAATTAGCCAAATCAGTCCAGCAGCTCTCGAGTTTTAGCGAGACTAACGAAAAGCAATTCATTTTTATATGTAAAGAAGATAAACTATCTCCTATGCTGTATAATCATAAGTGACAATGATTTATCGCAGCGACGACGCAGGGTCCAGTAATCGAGGATCCCTGTCTCCAAGACCTAGCAGCAGCGTGTCGCGACCGGGTGGCAGTTCTTCGAGAGCTGGTGGCAGTGGGGCACGCGCAGGTAGCAGCCATTCGAGGCCTAGTAGTTCTTCTGGTATGTATTGAAAAAAAAATATTGACAATATCAAACGTTGCTTTCACACCGATTCTAGTTTAGTTTGTATTTCTACCAAAACTTATTTACGGTTGTTTACTGAAATTAGGTCCTTAAAACGGTTGCATAGATACTTATGAATGCCAATTAGAGCCAATCACAATTTGTAAAGTTGTAATTGGGAGGGTAATCCTTTGATGTCGAGAAATTTCAAACACAGAACCCATTGACGCTTTAATTCGCATATAAAAAAAAATGTCAGGAAATTAACTTTACGATGTTGAAACTACTTTTAAGAGCTAATTACACTCTTTTTTTTAAATTTTTTTAATTCCACCTTTTTTTTACTAAAATTGTGTGAACTTGGATAATATGAAATAATTAGTATAGGTAAGGTTTTTATAAGCAATGTAAGAATTATAGTTGTATATTTTGTTTTTATTTGTGTAATTGATTGACTATTGTGTAACATATAATATATCAGTTAGTTTATTGGAATTGATCTCGATAGAACAGATTGTAAAATAAATACTTTGCGAAGGAAAATTTGTATTTGTCTAATGTTCGTTGGACTATACGTAATATGATATAATGTTGCTGTGGGTTATTGAGCATGATAACTGGACAAGTCGTCGTGGCCTAAAGGATAAGACGTCCGGTGCATTCGTTGTTGCGATGCACCGGTGTTCGAATCCCGCAGGCGGGTACCAATTTTTCGAATGAAATACGTACTTAACAAATGTTCACGATTGACTTCCACGGTGAAGGAATAACATCGTGTAATAAAAATCAAACCCGCAAAATTATAATTTGCGTAATCACTGGTGGTAGGACCTATTGTGAGTCCGCACGGGTAGGTACCACCGCCCTGCCTATTTCTGCCGTGAAGCAGTAATGCGTTTCGGTTTGAAGGGTGGGGTAGCCGTTGTAACTATACTGAGACCTTAGAACTTATATCTCAAGGTGGGTGGCGCATTTACGTTGTAGATGTCTATGGGCTCCAGTAACCACTTAACACCAGGTGGGCTGTGAGCTCGTCCACCCNAAAAAAAAAAAAAAAAAAAAAAAAAAAAAAAAAAACAAGAGAAGCTTTAGTTATTGATGAAGTCAAACCAGGTTCTCCATTGATAGTAGGCGGTCTAGATCTGGATCTGGAACTCGAATACACTGCGAAATGTGTGAAGGCTAAGCACCAACTTAGAAGACCACGGGTGGAAACTAGCCATAATAAGAACTCAAACTCAGTTGTACACAGATCTAAGTAAAATTGGTGAAATACATAGTGGGAAGGAGCACCAGTAAGCAAGTGAAAGAACAAGTACATAGGCAAACTTAGAAATTACTGTCTAAACTATGCCTTTATTGTTTATGTCGGAAATACTGTAATAAATTAGGCAAAATGGTAATAAATATGGATAGATAGCTAAATAGAAAATTAAAACTAAATTGAATAGAAGAAGTGAGCTGAAATATTAAGTTAAATAAAAGATAAAATGATGATTAAGCAACACATACAGAAATAAACAGATTAGTAGATGAAATGTAAGAAATAGTGAAATGTATGTGTCTTTGTTATCGGTTGGGAATGTCAACGTAAATAAATACCTAGTAAATCGGATGAAGTCGATTATTCTGATTATTCAGATAATTTTTTACTGGTGTTAGGACCTCTTGAGAGTTCGCGCGGGTAGGTACCACCACCCTGCTTATTTCTGCCGTGAAGCAGTAATGCGTTTCGGTTTGAAGGGTGGGGCAGCCGTTGTAACTATACCTGAGACCTTAGAACTTATGTCTCAAGGTGGGTTGGCGCATTTACGTTGTAGATGTCTATGGGCTCCAGTAACCACTTAACATCAGGTGGGCTGTGAGCTCGTCCACCCATATAGGCAATAAATAAAAAAAAGAACGCAACGAATTAAAGCGTTAGTGTTTTTGTGTTGAAATTTTCTTTAAACTAGTCCACGTTATATATTTGACATAATTAAAAAAAAAAAAAACAGAACATATCGAGTAAACTAGTAAATTTTCAGGCTCCGGCAACAGCAAAGCAACGTCCTTGGACGTGGACTCAATGATGCCGCCGAAAAAACGGATGCGGCATTTGTTCGATACAACGTTCTTACGGCGAGATTCGATTATAGATACAATGTTCGGTGGGGTTTTGTTGACGCGCGTCGAATGCACCGATTGTCATTCTTCGTCGCTTTCCCGCGACGTGTTCCGGGACCTCCAACTCGCGTTTCCCGATAAGCCCGAAGCGTCACAGCACAGCGTCCAGAGCCTTCTAGAATATTACTGCTCGAAAGAGAGCCTCTCGGGCGATAACAAGTATCAGTGCCGTGACTGCGGAGGCCTACGTGACGCCGAAAGGAGCGTCTTAATCGAAACCTCGCCGAAATATCTAATACTCGTTTTGAAGAATTTCAAGTAAGTTTTGTTGTTTTTTTTTTTTGTTTTTTAATCGTTTTAATTAAATAATATTCTATTTGCGGTTTATATGTACGCAGGAGTATTTCTTTTGTGTGTTTTCTTTACTGCAACGTAATTCATTTTATATTGACATTTGGTTGAAGCCTTTTATTAAGGCGACCGAGTCGTTGATTTAAGTTATACAAAATTGTGAAATGCTCGAAAAGATAAACTTGAGATTACAAACTCAAAAAGTTCTGTTAGCATCTGCAAAAACTCAGAAATTACTATGATGTCTGAGGATCGTTAAAAAGATAATAATTTCATAACTACCCACGTAATGTCACCTTAAGATAATACCAACTGAAGCACTATTCCAATGTCATTCTTATTCATTATTAATGAATATAGATTGTATTAGATGTCCCTATGAATAAGTACCACTATTCTGCCTATTTCCAGCCTCAAAGCCGAGCGGGTTTGGAAGTTAATTTCATGTTTCATATTGCAATGTTATTCCGGTTCTAGTAATCTCTTAGCACCAGTTGAGCTCATCCACTTATATAGGCAATAAATAAAGAAATCTTGAATAATACCAATAAATAATGCCGGGAACTAAGCACACCAAACAAAGGTCATAAGGTCAACAAGGTCATAATTCGGTCCCAGGCGTCAGTGCCGGTAACGGAGTCACAATATTTGAATATGCAATTTCGAAAAGGGCACATGTCGCATATTTTGTCAAATACGTTTTTTCAAATACATGTAGTTTTGAGGCTTACCCTACACCCATATTATAATAATTCCAGTAATTTTCAATTGCTAATTAACACTAAAATATATCTTAAAAGCTAATATTTTAAATTTTACACTGCTTTAGAAAATAATCAGTTTTTTTCATTTCCTGAATATTTTACATTTTCAGAGATGTGCCCTTTTCGAAATTGCATACGAGGGCGGCACTGAAAATTTCGGGAATTAACGAAGTGACACAACATTACTATTTAAAAATTTATTTATTGCTTTTCGAAGTATTCTCCGCGAAATTTGACACATTTTTCCATACGATGGAACCAATCATTGAAGCAACCATTCCATTCGGAAGTTGGGGTCTCCAAAATGGCCGTTTTGTAGGCGTCCACAGCTTCTTCAGGTGATGAAAATCTCTGTCCACGCAATTTATTCTTTATTTTAGGGAAAGTATAGAAATCATTAGGGCTTAGGTCGGGGCTGTACGGCGGATGGTCTAATAATTCTATGTTTTCTTGCTCTAAAAACTCTTTTGTTCTGTGCGCGGTGTGAGAACTCGCATTGTCGTGATGGAGGATGATGCGGCGGTTGCAGTTCTCTTTACGGAGTTCAGAAACGACCTGTGGCAAACAAATGCTAGCATACCATTCTGCATTAACCGTTCTTTGTCCCTCAAGAGGAATAGTCGTAACATGGCCGGTTTTGGAGACAAACGTGGCCACCATTTTTTTTGCAACACTCCGTGAACGAACAATTTTTGTTGGCTTTAACTCATTTTCGAACACCCAAACTCGTGACTGGTTTTTTGTTTCGGGTTCGTACGCGTATATCCAGGATTCGTCACCTGATACAATGTTGTATACAGCATTTGAGGATCCTGCGTGGAATCTTTCGAGAGTTCTGACGCACCAAGTAACGCGAGCCGCTTTTTGCTCTTCACAGAGCGAATGCGGTATCCATCGGGAAAACAACTTTTTTACACCTAATTGTTCATGCAAGATTATTTGTATTTGACTCATGCCAATGTCTAAAGTTGCCTGAATTTCGCGGTATGTCACATGTCGATCTTCCTCAATCAGCTTACGCACAGCATCAACGTTTTCTTGGGTGACTGCAGTTTTTGGACGACCTTGATGGGGATCATCACTGAGCTTGACACGTCCACGTTGAAACTCAGCAAACCAGCGATAAATTGTGGTTTTGGATGGGGCTTCATCACCAAATGCAGAAATCATCCGGTTAACACACTGTTTTTGTGTTAAACCACATCGAAAGTCATAATAAATCATCGCTCTTGAATTTTCTCGAGTCAATTCCATTTTCTCAACGACTAAACAAGTTTGACAAAACCTCGTGACAAGACCGAGAATCTTTTTTTAAATAAATAAATGGTATTCGATTTTTAAAACCAAGGAGTTTTCAATTTAAAAGATTTTAATATGACAGGAACAGTGGAAATATTCAATTTCCGATTCTTTTAGTGCAGCCTAGTATTCATTTAAATACAGTAGTTAGTCTCCTTACGTGGTTGCTACTGGCGACCAGATAACGCAACTGTCTTCCGCATTTTAGATATCGATCAGTATTGCCGTCGGTACGAGCGGGCTTTAAATGATGTAGCGGGAATTTGTATATCAGTGTGCTTAGTGCGAGTTTCTTAACGTTCTCGATAGCGTAAAAGTTAACCCAATTTTGTATGCAGTTGGAACAGCGCCCCTAGCGGCAAACGTACGCAAACGATCCCATTCCATACAAATATGAGCTAACGTTTACGTTATCGAGAACGTTAAAAACTCGCACTAAGCACACAGGATAGACGCGGCGGTATTGAGTTTGTTCAGATTCGATCGCGCTTTTGTGATCAATACGGGCGCAATGAGAAGCGGCAAACGTACGCAAACGATCCCATTCCATACAAATATGAGCTAACGTTTACGTTATCGAGAACGTTAAAAACTCGCACTAAGCACACAGGATAGACGCGGCGGTATTGAGTTTGTTCAGATTCGATCGCGCTTTTGTGATCAATACGGGCGCAATGAGAATCGGCATCGACTCTTCTAGAATTTAAAGACACCGACAAAATTTTGACATGACGCTTGTCTAAACCTAAAAATTTTATCAAAGTCGGCTAGAACAACGCGGCACACGTACACACAACAGCTTAGTGAAAAAAAAGCGTTTTAAGCAGAGTAGACAATTAACCGATCAGATTTCCAAAAAGTATTCCGATCTTGATGAGGAAATCAACAAACAAATAGGTATTTAAAAATATGCGCCGGCTATAATTACTTCAAATGCTTAATGACAATAAAACTGTTTTTTTACTAATCGATTTTAATGATTAATTACGAAACTAACTAACGCTAAACCAATTAAATTAAATGATTTTGTACATTTACGAATGCAATAAAATTAATACGATCTGATATTAATGCCGTGCCGTGAAGCAGTAATGCGTTTTGGATTTGAAGGGTGGGGCTGCCGTTGTAACTAAACTGAGACCTTAGAACTCACATCTCAAGGTGGGTGGGGGGGGGCATTTACGTTGTGGATGTCTATGGGCTCCGGTGATCGCTTTACACCAAGTGGGCTGTGAGCTCGTCCACTCATCTATGCAATAAAAAATAATTAGATATTCGATATTCAACTTCCTTTTAAGGAATTCCATACTGATTTCAATTAGCGTGTTGACAACGAACCTGCTTTGGTCTATTAACACCAGAATGAGATTTAAAAATAAATAATAAATTAAAAAACCTACAAAAATACGCCTTTATAGAAAATACAACTAAAAAATAGAAAATAAATTTTAATAAATTTGAATTAAAAATAGTGTAAGAAAAAGTGATTTTATTTTAAAAAAATGCATGGGGTGCTTTTCAGGACATTATCAAAATAACCCTTCTACTCATATCTGTTCATAAAATATTTATAACTACTTATACCATGCACCCCACGCTTTTTTTACAATAAAATCATTTTTTCTTAAACTGTTTTTAATTTAAATTTATTAAAATTTATTTTCTATTTTTTAGTCGATTTTGTTAGTTTTTTTAAACTATTATTTATTTTTCATTTTTTAGTTGAATTTAAATTTTTTAAATTATTTATTTTTAAATATTGAATTGTAATCGGTCCTTAATAAGTATACCAAATTTCGAGTTAATCCGACGTTTATGAAGGGGGTCAAAATCATGTTCAAAGATTCCGTACTACAAACTAACCTACATACGTCTGAAGCTAATAAAAGCGTAAAAAACATGATCATTATTTTCGTAGGTTCGAGCCAAAGATTCAGGTTCAGACGAAGCTGATGCACTCTATGTACCATAACCAGTCGGTGACTCTGCCGACTGTCCGGGCCCGTGGTCAGCACTCTGCGTACTCGCTTTACGCGGCGATCATCCACGCCGGCACCACGCTCGACTCCGGTCACTACTACACCCTAGCTAAAGACAACGACCAATGGCACATATACAACGACGACATCGTCACAAATGCCGACGAATCGGAGTTCAGCAAGCTACATCCGAACAGCACTCCGTATATACTGTTCTACAGGAGATCAGACATGGAGGAGAGTTCGGCTCCGACTCTCGAGGAGTTGCCTCCTAAACTGCAGGAGTGCGTGATGGCCCACAACAAGCACTACATGGAGAAAGTGCGGGCGATACATTTGTCGCGTCCATGACGGTTAAGGTCCAATAAGTATATAGATTTTTCAGTATTGGAGTATTTCGACCCTGAATAAACTATATCGACTGGACGAATTTTCTGATGTATTTCGCTTTGGCATTCATGTTTTGGTGATTCGGATTCGATTTTTTTTTTTTATAAATAAATAACAAACTGGAAGTTTTTTTTAAATTAGTCAATGAATAAAGTTCAGATTGTTGTTTGTAACGTTTCTTTATCTTGAAGGGCTATGAAAGTAAGAAAATCTCTGAACGAACGATCATAATTTTATTATTATTTGCGTCGTGAAATGTTGAGTTTTTTTTTTTTTATATGAATTAGTTAATAAGGAAATTTTTTTGACATTGATGTTTTATTTAGAAGGTCTTGTAGAATAGTGTTTCCGGTATTTGTGAGTTATTATTATTATTACTTACGGAACGATTAAATTAAAAAAACAAAAGACCACCGGTTGGTTAATATTAATCGATAATATAAAATTATTAATCGATATGTAATATAAAGATGTAAGTTGGTTTATTAAGGTGATTAAACCAAAATCGTAACTAACGCTTGTGGGAAGCGCGTATTTTTCATAATTTCCGAATTGAATATTTGAAATTGGAGCTATTCGATTTTATAAATTGAAAGGACTTATTTACGATCGGGGTTTTATTTTTAATGATTGGAAAGAAAAGACAAGCCACTACACAGGATATGTTATAAAGTGAATAAAATGAAAAACAAGGGTGTTTAACATATCGTCTCTTCACATTAAAAGTGTACAATTTTCAAAAATATTCGAAATTAAGTTAATATGCGCAATCATTTGGTATCACCAGTATTTTTCTCATAAATACTGTCAAAAGAGCGTAGTTTAGTTTTATTTTTTTTATTTTTTATTTACATATGTTTTGAATACTATTAACAAAATTATGACATAATTTTATCTTACTTTAAAAGACAGATAATGTAACTGGTAAAAAATAAATGTTACAAAGATGATTAATATTAAAAATATCACTTGTTAAACCTTTAAAACACTCTTCTGTAAAAATAGTAAGTTTTTAGATTATACAGTTTTAATGCGAGAATGCGATATCTACTTCCACTGATTTCAATTCACCTCATAGAAACTTTCCGTTATGCTGTTTTTGATGAAACGGCAGGATATGGCCCTGCTAATACTTACTGCTCGTAGTTCGTATTGTAACTCGCACCGCTCGGGTAGGTACTCCCTTTTTGCCGACTTCTGCCGCGTTGTGTCAGCTATTACTTACTACAAAAAAGTATTGTCTGGCCTTACGAAGGGCTGCTATTATAAACTAATTTAGATTTACAATATAATTTATAATATATTTGACGAATTGGAAATTAAATACTGTTCCACAGCGACATCGGATTCTTTGTTATATATTTCTTTATTTATTCTATAAAACGGCTATAATATTTTATAATATAACGTTTTAAATTCGTTGTAAAAAAAAAACGGATGCATTCGATTCCAAATAAATAGTAATAAAATATCAGTATTTCGATTGAATTAAAAAAGATCGAATTAAAATCAACATTGCGTTGTGGAAAATGTTTTTTTTTATGAGCGAATCACCGAAATATTAATGTCAAAGCAAAAATATTCGAAGTGTCATTAATGATTAACGAAATGGACGTATTGTGATTAGATTGTGGTTTATAAATATAGAAATAAGTGTTTTCAGTTTAAAAAAGAAACTTTTATTATGCTACGCTCCGTACACATGTATTAAATATACATATTTTTCTTTTTAGTGTAAATATTATTTTCATAGTTTATTTACGTATAGAAATAAAATTGAAAATAGTTGGGTTTTTTTTTAACCGAAAAGTGAATTTATTTATTCGGTTTTATGACAAAAGACCTGTTCGGTCTTGTAATGAGTTACTTGCTTTATTGATGGACGCGAGATCTCTTTATTATATTGGATAAATATTGTATTTACGAACTTAAAAATGTATTTAACTGTTATAATCTACTTACTACTTGAAATGCAATTCATCAGTTTTTTTTGTTAAATTAATAATGGTTATGAAATACAGTTAACATGAAAGCAAATTTTGTACATTTTCAATAAAAATGTGACCCAGAAAATTGATTTGAATTTGTAATAAAAAAATATAAAGTTTATTTAAATGTAACATTCTATAATTCGATCTAATTTTTTTTCTTGTCTACTTTAAGTGCTATGTGAACTAGTGATGTTGCGTTTTTTAAGCAGTAAGGAACCGGACAACTGTTATTTTTTTATACTTTGACGCGCAAACTTCATAAAGCATGGCTGAACTCGACTCGTTTTGGGCCCAAATTTACGGCGATAGGCTTACTACAGCTTGTTATGAAATGATGCTAGAATATTTAATAGATTTAATTTACTGACTTAATATATAAAACATTAATATTTCACAACAAAAAAAAAACAAAATAGTGAGAGAATCGTTATTGTTTAATCAAGTACCCTCATAACTATTGTTAAGATTGTTTTTTTATTCGGGTCCGGTTGCCTATTCAGAACGTTTTTTTTTTATTTTTTATATTGTACTTTTTGTCAACTAGTTCGAAATGTGATATAAATGCAACACGAGTTAAACGTGCCAGCGACGTGCAATATATAATGTATACACACTTTTCATTTCACTAAAGATATATATATATATCGCGCAATGTATTGTGATGTCTAATGCTTATAAATAATGTAGCTTTGTATTACGCATATACTTATTGTTGATTATCGAAAAAAAAAGAAAAAACTTTTAACTTTACATATTTTAATTAGTTTACATATATATATACAATTCATTTTATGCGTAATGACCGGGGATATGGAACTAATTAAACCAAATTTTTTTTTGACATAATAAGAAATTAATTGAACCAAATTTTCTTTGACGATTACAAGATATTCATATGTATACTTTATTTCCAGTGTAGTTTTGGTTAAAAGAAAACAAAACGTTAACATATTGATAAACTAGTCTCTTGGTGGCTATCGTAAGTAAATGTTGTCATATAGAATGACGTAATTGGATAGTACCGGGTGTAAGGGAATAGTTCCCGAGAAGGTGACTCGCGATGTGGAAATCATTAAAAAAATGGCGGTTTCGTGTGTAGGCTGTTTGTGCATTTCATGAGGTTTCGTTTATATATTCGTATATATAAAACTATATATTTTAAGAAATATTTCCATAATTAGAGTAAATTAAGTTAGAATGTAAAATTTAAAATGTTAAACTATTGGATTTCCGACTCTATGCACACCACACAATGAAACAAATTCGAAAATCAGCCGATATGACAGTTTCTCGAATTACGTTACGAAACGTAATTTACGCTACAGCAGTACGAATGAAAATAGCTTTTCGCTTATATTTACTTAAAGTACATAATTCCCTATTCGAATTGGCGAACAGTTGACTTACACCCGTATGTATATATCTCGATTTCAGAGCCAAAAGGACGGATGTTTTATTTTCTTTTCGAAGTTGAACACCTCGCATTGATCTCCTCGGACTTATGTGTGTGTGACTAGTCTCTGATGTCGAGATTGTAATTATTAAGTGACGTTAAACTTAGAAGTCACCTGACTGTTTTTTGTAGTTTGATATACGTTAACTATCTGTAGTAAAATGTAAATAAACAATTGTAAAGACTTATCATCGGCTTTTGAACTTGTAGATATATGGGACACCACGTTTTTTTTTTTGATAATGTAGTAATTTTTATTTTTATTTTTTTATTTAGTATAATAATTGTCTTCTCTTTGGTCATGGGAAATATTATATAAACAAAAACTTCGTGTTAAAGTAGGTATTAAATTTTCTATTATACGCACATAAAAAGATTTATCTAAAATTTTATTGTTATACTTGGACCATTACAAATGTGCGAACTGAGTCATAAATAATTTTTATCAGACCTCTCGCTCACACTTATAGGCATATCGGATCTCTCGCTCACACTTATAGTGTTGTAAAACTTAAATCAATATAATTACACTAAAAACGTTGTCTATTTAAATTTAAAAAAAATATTTTTCCGGGTCACTTTCTAATTCGTTAAACGCTATCAACACATTATGAATAACCAAACTAGTTTGGACGTTAATATCGCCCTTGAGTTTTAACAAAGTTCTCGAATAATGCTATGCAAAGCAATTCGGCCGACGGAAAGTGGCCGGGAGTATTGGCGTCTTATTTTTAAGGGTATTGCCTAAAATATACGTAAAAATCAGCGTTCAGAATTTTACGTGAAGTGCGTAATGATTTTATGTACCTTGATTACCTGATACCTGATAATTGGCCGTCTAAGCAAGCTAGCAGGTAGGCATGTGTTCTTAGTACATAGTAACAATACGAAATCGGCCACATTTCGTTCGTCAGAAAATACGTGACGTCTGGTGGTGACGTCAGACTCTGGGATCTTACACTATTTATCGATATCGAGTTGCGCGGCATTGTCACACTCCTTTGACGTAATGTTTTATGACTGTTCGCACGTTTGTGATGGCCCAAGTATTACATTTTCCATGTCGATCTGTTGCAATACAAAGATCACATTAAGATTCTCTACACAGATTTCTATGACTCGAGGTTGGACGATGGAAGTGGAATATAGCTGCTTGTAACCAATAAGATAATGAAAATACTTATCCATACACAGGAATTGATATATTGCTATTAAATTGCCCATATGTTTAACATTACCGCAATTTTTATTTACAAAGCTACTTTTAGCTAGTTGGATGAAGTATTATTGTTGAATCCCTTGAAACGCGGTCACATAATGATTCGGGTGAATGAAATTTGTGAATGGACCTACCCGCTTATTTATCAATTAATTTCTCGACTTGAGGCTTAAGATCTGATATATCCAAATTTCTATTTAACAAATTGATCATTTGAAATCATTATCGGTTGATATTTACATGATGATGAATCGGAATTGTATTGATAGTTTAAGCTCTAACACCAATTAACACTTGAAGCCAAGTTAATAATAAAAATAAAATTTAACGTGGTTTCATTCAATAGCTTGTACAATTTTCATATCGAACGATGCGAAATAAATCAAGTTTGTGTTTTTATTTAACTACCGTCTCATCTAAATAGTTATAATGCTAAATTAACTCTTTTATGACATATCTCTCTTTTTAAATACTATTAGTACTTACGTTAAACTTTAACGATTAAATTACTAACCTATCAATACACAGTTAAAGCTTATTAATGATAGATGGCGCTATTTACAACGTTAAAACGATTTTTTATGTACTATCCATGCAATTTTGATCGGTACATGTGTATTATAAATATCTACATGAAACCTATTTAAGATATATTTATTTCTACATTTGGTAGGTTGAGACGCTAAGAAAAGAAGGAAAACCTTGATAAACCTGACCTTTTGTCTTATATGTTCTACGATACGACCTTATTCTTATAAACATGTACGATACGACATATTAAATATAACTTTAATTTAACAATGTTTTATTTCATTGTTCTATACAATGAAATAAAACAACGTAATATTTTTTTCTTTAGGGTTTCTAGTCATTTTATAATTTATTTGGCAACTGATTCAAATCAGCTAATTCCAATATGAATAGAGCTAGACTGAACTATAAATACAAGATGAATTAAAAAAAATGTTTTCTCTAAAGTAGAACAAAGAAAGGAAATTTATAAATTTATTCATAAAGTAGCAACATTTTAAGAATATTTTCCTATTAAAAAACAGCAGATCTTGTTCGTAATACAATTTTATCGTAATTAGGGACGAGCTTGCGAGTGAGAAAGAGGAATGCGCATTACACTCCATTTTACCAAACCCTATGACGTTTTCCCATGACGATTTATTTTTTACAATCTAACAGCTAACAGCCCTATTAGAAAATATATTAAGCACAGGTCAATCAATATTCTTAAATTTCTAGTTTTGTGTACACTAACTATGTCTAAATTAAATCGATGTTATGCTGTTGTTGGTTAGCATAAAATTTGTAAATAATAGAAGCATTTATAGTTGCACATTATTTAATACATAAAATGATTTTTTGTTGCGGTGACTTATTGACGTATTTTTCTATCACCACCACTCGATATATCTAGATGTACGTTCTATAGTTCTATACGTCAGGTAATTATAGTACGCGTCAAATTTGAATTCGATTTCAAACAGCCTTCCTATTTTAAAATAATAATAAAATATTGATACTCGTCATTTTAAGAAATTCTATTAACATTGTGGGTCTACTAAATCAGATTACTTAGAACTGATTCACCCGAATATCTTATAAATACGATGCATATTTATAATACTTTGTAGTTAAATAAAATTAAACTAGATTTCGTGGATAGTTTTTGTCTTAATTTAACGCGATGTATATTTTTTGTTACATAATTATAATACATTACGTTCGCTGAAATAATGAGTTGTAGTTTAGCAAAACGTGTTCCAACGATAAATAGCTCTGTCATATGCAATAAGTCAGTTAAACTGACGTCATTGTTTTAATTTGTTGTGTAATAAAGTACCATGCATTATGAATTACAATTAAGTTTATGAAAATCTTTTATTTATCGATGTACATTTAAAATTCTCAACAAATTGAATTGTGCGATTCTTATGTCATGTTTTCTTTTATGTTGGTTTTTTTTTAAAATACAATAGTGACATAATAAATATTGAAATTGAGAAATGTGTTTCAATTTTTCTGATTGGAAAACCTCTCACGGACGGATAAGGTGGTTGTGAGTTGAAATATAACAACAGAGACCTTTTTCCCTTACCTATCCCTGGTGGCCTAAATGGGCTATTTCAGCTTCTCGTGAACGGGTAAATGAGCTAATGGGCTCAACCTGTGAGACCAACACTAACCCTAGCAAGTACAGTGCTTCGCAGAATCTACTACCGGATTGGAATCGCGACCTACTCAGAAAATCCAGCGAGAAACGGTAACCGGGGTTTGAAGAACCTAAAAGCATCGAGAGTAGACCCGGGCGATCCGACAGGACATGTTTCGGGCAACGCCAGCGTTGCGTTGCCCCGTCTCCTGTCTCAGATATGTAAATAGCGGCGGACAACTTAAGAGGTTATCGTGTCGCGCCGCTTTCTCTACGTAGCGTTCTGACGCTATCTTTAGATATTTACGTATCGGTTCTAAACTTAAGTCATCGTGAAGGTCGACGTTCCTCACTTACCACGTTACTCCGACAGCTATCATGCAGAAACGGGATTGAATTGCCTTCAATTGTCTAACGATCTGAAAATGACTGGAAAGGACTGAGAGAAAAAAAATATTTTGATCTTATCACGGAAACGAAAAGGTGAACAAAAGGAAAAAGTTATTACTAATAATCTTTATTTCGGAACGTATATTCAATATTATAATAAGATAACCGCTTAATAAGTGAGTTAAACTTTCAGCAACAGAAAGTATCCGGTAAACACTCGTTGGTTAAACAATTTTCTACATTAAGGAATGGATAATATCTACTGAGGACATCGAGTGCAATGAGACTAGTTTTGAAATAAGACAATATTATTGAAGTCGTCACATTTTTCATATATTTAAATTTATTCAAATAATATTTATTCAAATTTATTCAAATAATTTTCTCCTAGAACTACTTAATATTTTACAAAACAACACTATTTATGTACACATTTTACCTCTTACTCAAACAGTAGAAATGTAATAAACTTAAGATTATAAACCAATTAGCTTTCCACCCAGGTTGTTTAGTTTCTCGGTGGCAGCTCTGGTAATTGTTCTGATGAAGGTCCCTGGAATCTAGAAAACAAAAAATGGAAAGGGAATCCGAATTCATCATCCTGAACCGAAATACTTGTCGCTTATTTTCATAGTATCCAGTTTTTTGGCATCATTACCGTATTATTGTTACGTGTTGGGGATCGGGATAAATAAAACTTTGGTAATACTGGCATTATTTATCCCACTTCTGACACCAGCGCGTAACAATTTGATGTCAAATAATGCCAGTCTTACCGAAGGACTCCAATAAAGTGGACTAAAATTAGATGAAAGATGGTGTTACTAGTACCGGTACAACATTTCTTTTTTCTTCTTTTCTGGACATATATTTTATATCTATTTGTTAAAAACATATTTTTATTGGTTAGACGGGATGAACGAGCTCACGGCCCACCTGATGTGAGTTACTGGACCCCATACACATCAACAATGTAAATGCCACCACCCACCTTGAGGCATCCCTACCCTTCAACACGGAATGCATTACTGCTTCGCAGTAGAATAAGGGACAGTGATGGCACCTACTCGTTTGGGCTTAAAAGACACCTTACTACCAGCTATTTGTAGATTCTGATCTCTATTCTTACTTATCTAAATATTAAAATGATACCTGGATGATAATACTTACCTCAAGAACTGAGTTGACTACATTGGACACTCCTTCAGCACCACCTACGATGACTTTGCCCGCGGTATAGAATTTGTCTCCAGTGTTGCCGTATTTTTCTGATTCGCTGATTGTGTCTACTATGGGCTTAGGCTGTAAACGAGAATGAATTTAATAGGATAATTAAAACCCAGAAGCTACAAAACAAGCTACTTTTGTGTGCATCAATGTTAAATACATATAATCTAGATAAGCTCGTGTTCTAATGTGTATGGAATTGAAAATGAATAAATACATGAAATTAAATTTATTTATTAAAATAAAATCCAGCTTATGTTATAAACACCTAAGGAATTATCAAGGCTTTCTGTTAGTGAAAGGACCCGTGTTTTTAGAGACGACACCGAGTGTAATCGTATCGACCGAAGTCACTATGAGGGTACTTAAACCCCGTTCGTTACATTATTTATAGTAAGAGTTTCTGAAGTTATTTTATGTGTGAATTATACATTCTTGTATCTTACTTATTACGAGAGTATCTAACTTACTTGAAATATTCCGGCCACAACGTTTTGTATGTTTTCTTTCACTGATAAAGTTTTACTTCCAAAACCTTCCGTTTCTGGCACGGCGCTCTCGAGTGTGGATGTTCGAGAAGCAAAGGGTCCTCCGAAATTCAAAGCCTTTACCTATATAAAAAAGAGTTGTAAATCCAAAAGCAAAACCATAATAATAATAATTGATGCATTAAGAGAATATCATAATTACTTGAGTCTCAATTTTGTTGCTGATGAACTTTGTAGAAGATTGTAATTTGTTCGAAATAAAATTCCCGGAATTTGTGTCAGGTTCTCCACCTGGGTAATTCTCTGCTTCTATAACCGTGTTCGGTTGGATATCAAAGTTTGTCTGAGGCTGGTCAAATACTGGCAAGTCGACTCGAATGGGAGAGTCCGCAGGTGCCGAGGTACTGATACTGACGCACAGCAGTAATAACATAATTGAGGAATGCAGCATCCTAGAAGAAATAAATATTACTGAGACATAAAATGCAGTGGATAGACTAAGCCATAATTTTTGTTCAATACTAAAGTGCTCTCTAAAGCCTGGTGCATATGTATTCCAGCGTAGAATTGTTACTTCATTACTATCTGCTTTTTTTTTGCCTTTGTAGACTGACGCACATACCGCCAACCTGATGGTAAGTTTTTAATATGGCTTATGGCCACAAGTAAGCAGCAATGCCACCAATACAGCCAAATTTGCCTGCCACTGAGTGCTCTCCGAAGTTAGTTCATCCCAGAGTCGGATCGTATACGGCGAAAAACATCTCTGGAATTCAGATGGATGGATTTCAGGGGAAAACGCTGTGTTCATCCACAGTGCGTTACTATCTAGTATGGATGAACTCTGCTCTGTCGGTGAGAGGTGCGATAGTAAAAAGGAGATGGAGGGATCATCTCGAATAATTCCTAAGAGCACTATTACATAGTGTGCTTGTCGAGATTTATTGACTACTAGTTGAAGGTGCACATAGAGTCGAAACCCAGCCGTCATACCATCTTTATTGTTATATCATTCCTAAATAATCTTGCATCGTTTTCTTGTTCGAACATATTATACACGATTTGTCGAACGATTAAGTATAGAATCAGTGAAATAAGTGAAGTAAGTGTTATATAATCAATTAAAATTACGTTACAGGGTCCTATTACATAACATATTTATTACTTAGCAAATGTTAGGTTAGACGTAGGTTGAATGACTGGATCAGTACATTTTATTATTATTATTATTATTACAAGTCTAACCACAAGAAATAGACTAGGTATTTACGAGAATCTCTTGACATAGAGCAATTATACCATTGTACTAGCAACTGATATCGAACATCAAACGTCAATCAAAACTCACGACAAATCAAAAGAATCAATGAAATTTATATTCAGATCTTTGTAAATAAACAAAAAACATTTATACAAATATAGTAAGTAGTTTTTTTGAAAATGGAGATGCCCGAAGTAAATCGTTGTTTCGGTATGTTCCCCCCGAAATATGGGTGTCTTTTGATATCTTGGCTTGGTCTTGCAACTGGAGGGACTGGCCTGGCTGGTATCATCATGTATGGCATTGTTCAAGAGCAAATCATTGCTCATTTCATGAATACAACCAAAGTTGATGAAGGTTCGAAGAAAATGGCTCTAATGTCAATTGGATTCACTTCTCTGATGTTGTTCATTGGAAATGGTTTGCTGTTTTTAGGAGTAACGTTTTCGTCTAAGTCCTGCGTGAAATATTTTGTATACGTGACTTTTGCCATGTGCCTTATAATGATCATGGGTTGTATCGGTGCACCTGTATCGTGTTTTTTTCTCGCAAAGACTTGTGTAATGAAAAAAATATCTTCACCCGCTATGGTCATTGGTTATTTAGGTTTTACCATATTTATAGAATTGTGGTTATATTTTATGGTGGTGGGGTACAATTTCAAAGAATCATTATAATTTAGATTTCTGTCTGACAGATTTTGTGCAAAACTAGAAGTGGCCTGTTTTAATCCTGTTTCATAATTATTCATGGCAATTGTGAATAGAAATGACCGCTTTCATGCTCACGGAATCATTGTGTTACAAAAAAGTTAATGTATTGTGAACTTTTTTCCTAATCTGAACACTCAAATAAACTTTGAGAAACTATAACGAGAGTTTAATTCCCAGCTGGTCGAAGGTAAGTCAATTGTTAGTAACCCTTCCCATTACCTTGAAGTAGCCGTGCGAAATTCTACTAGGTATACTTCCAATCATTATTTTGTAGCAATAGTTTCTTCGCCTTGATATCGTATGTAGCTTTTTATTCCCGTCCACAGTAGACCGGAACAAAAGGGCAACTCTGGAATGAATCTCTTCGTGGTTTCCACCAGCGCTATGGCCGGTCTATTTTCAAATGAGATTCGAAAGGATTTCTCAGTGGTAGGTAGCAAGTTGGCTAAACCCCGAGAATTACCGTTCTCAATGCGTGACAGTAATAACATCAAGCGGGCTGTTACCAAATTTGCCCTTAAGTGCATTAAAAAGCTTTGATAATTAAACTCTCTGTAAACTCAGAGGTGTAAGGCCTTCCGCTTACTCATCGTATCGACTGGCAGCAGAGTGCATTGTGATTATTTGCCTATTTCTGCCGCGAAGTAGTCAAGCGTTTCTATCGAACGGGCGGGATATCCCTAGTTCTAATGCAACTAAAATTTCGACCTGATGTTTCAAGTGGTCGTCAATAACTACTTTAAAACAGCCCTGAACTCAGTTGTCTAAGCTCATAAAAAGTAACAAAAGATAAGTCATATGATAGGAATTTATACGAACTTTAAAACAGTGCCTCATTTTAATCACTTACAGTTAAACAATTAGTTGCTCAAGAATCTACTTAAGTGAAATTACATCAACTGTACGTATTTAACAAAGTATGTCCATTATCATTACTTAAATATTTTAAATACTTTACGGCCCTTACAAACATCAAATATCTTTTACACCGGACCTAATATTTAGCTTAATAAACTATTGCGGTTCATACTATTACGATTTGTTTTTTTTTTTAAATACTTTATGTTCTTAATAGAAGAAAAATGCTTTTAAAATGTAAATAGGACTGCGTCAATTATGAATGGTACCATCCATGAGATCTGAGGTCTCATTGTATAGTTGAACGGCTGTCCTCCTACTGTCTGCTTTGCGGCAGAAATCGTCAGAACCCGCGTGTGCCGGGTTAGTAAATGTTATAATACGATACGCCAAACTACTATAAACGCAAACTGTAAATTTTGCGGGTTTCAATTAAGCAATCCATTAACGTAATACGAATAAGGTTTATAGATAAATCACACGTGAGCTTAGATACAATAATGTTTCAACGGATTTTTTTCACTATTGAAGCGCTAGTTGCCTAAGGGGCTATTCCAGCTATGCTCTGTAGATGAGCTGACGGGACTCAAACTGGGAGATTGTTAACATTGGCCCTAGAAAGAGCAATGTTTGGCAGCACTGTCCACCGGATCGGAATCGCGACCCACTGAGAATTCCCGACCAACTGGGTATTAAATTCACTTTAGTTTCTCTATGAATGGGAAGTCATTCAGAGTTTTACTCATAAGGGCGTGGATTAGGGCCTGTATGAGAACTTTATTTTATTGTAAATTTGTCCACAACGCATTCGTAAACCGTTCACCCGGTTGTATTGAAATTTGGAACAGTTACGGATGGTCCCCCTTGTTTTTTTAAACCTATTCTATTCTAGTAACCTCGAGGGGTTATACTAGATTCATAGGGCGAGTAGGTGAGTTCTCGGGGCTCAAACCTGACGACATTGCTAATACTAACCCTAGCAAGAGCAGTGCTTCGCAGAATCTACCACCAGATCGGAAACGCGACCCACTGAGAAGATCCCGCGAGAAACTCAGTGGGCATGGTACTGCAGGGAAGGTTTCTATCGTAGTGCCATCAACACACGAGAGGTGATGCGCGTGTATCTTCTAGTAATCTAAATTTAATATACAATTAGTGTTTGTTGCAAAAAAAAAATATGTCTACTACGTATACTTTGTATCTACCGCCACCTGTATCACCATCCCTCCTGTTTATGCCGCAAACCGGTTATAGAATAGAATTAGCACTTCCACCTAAATATACCAGTGTTTATTATACGAGATCAAAGTCCCTTGTCCTTGTACTTTATTGGAAGTGATTTGGGGGAATTCATTTTTACTTTATTTTTTATGTCAACAGCACCAATTTACATTTTCTTAAAAGTTCGAATACCTATTTATAAGAAAAATAAAAACACAGCGGAGCGTTTGCTAAAATTAACTACGAAATTTAATTAGAAAATCAGACATTGCCTCTAAAGAATACGTAGACTTTATAAACGTAATGTAAGTTAGTTACAAATTATTTTGCAATATGCAGGTGCACAATAAATATTAAAAAATAGTTTTTTTTTCAATTCGACGAAGCATTAAGAAATTTGATACTTTAAATAAATAAAAATGAAAGTTTCCAAATTAAAAAAAACAAGACATATTTTTTTGTAATATTGTAAACTGTTATACAATAATTGCTAATCACTCACTTGGTAGTCCAACCGGTCGGCGTGTTGTTCGGACGCACGTTGTGTCTCTAGTGGGGCTTTCGATTGCGCACTTTCACGTGTTACATCATTGGGCCTTGGCTCTCTTTTAACCAAAACGTAAGGTGGATGTGGCCACAGACGGACGATGTCTTATAGTGCAACAATAATAAATCGTCCTTAGGAATCTAATTAAGCCATCGATTGCTCATTAAGTAATGACGTCGTTTTTGATGGACGATGACTCAAACCTTAACAGGGTATCATTACTCCCAGAAGAAAAGGTGATCTGACTAGTATCGTTGTAAATTTCTGCTATCATTTAAATAATAATAGTCTCTGAATAACATCGCCGTGATATAGAAGCTCGGAGACAAACGAGTGAAAAAAAAAAAGAGTAAGAAAGTCTCATTTTAGGACGGAAAATCAGCGGTGCCTTATATACCTATAGGCGTGCAATTTCTATTAGTCTTAAAATAGGTATCCCAGAACGTAAGCTATATATCCTAAGTGAATACTCTTTAGGCATTTAAAAAAAAAACTTGGTACCGCTTATGACAATTATTGCTGATATTGACAACAAGTCAAAAGATCCGTTCTGGCATTATTAAATTATCTTTCCTGTGTTTTCTGAATACACTTTTTGCGATGGAGACATTTTGCTTTTAAGCTGATTGTTGATTATAAAAAAATGAATGTTCTAAATAATGCGCGTGCAATTTGTCCTAATCTTTGGACCGGGCTGTGCTGTCAGAATTTAACTTGTATAAAAACTGTACGGGAGGTGCGACGAAAACGAGCGTCTGTCAATAAAAGCGATGCACCTCTAACGAGATTTTGTAGAAACAATCTTGAGCAAATACCGAGTCTGAGTATGTGGGTGCAGGTGCGATACCACAAAGAATGTCCTCGTCTTCACCGCGATATCGAATTCCCAAACTTCAATCCGTACAGGAAAGATCAATACAAGGATGTGAGAAAGACAAGGTGGGGTGCGGGCGACGAGAAGTCCGGAGTGACCTACACGATTGGCTTCTTCGGATTGCTCTGTGGATCGTATGCTGTAAAATCCGAGCTAGTACATTTCATTTCTTACATGGCCGCAGCCGCTGACGTGCTAGCTATGGCATCGATAGAAGTAGATCTGACCAAAATCACACCCGGGGCTTGTGTCTCATACAAATGGCGTGGAAAACCGCTTTTCATTAAGCGTAGAACTCAAGCAGACATCGATATTGAGGCAAAGACTCCATTGTCGGTTCTACGCGATCCAGAGACCCCGGAACAACGTACTACGATCCCGGAGTGGCTTATAGTGATTGGAATTTGTACACATTTGGGATGTGTGCCGATCGCAAATGCTGGTGACTATCCGGGAGGTTTTTACTGTCCCTGCCACGGTAGTCATTACGATAACGTCGGTAGAGCTCGTAAAGGACCCGCGCCTTTGAATTTAGAGGTTCCCCCTTATAAGTTTGTTAGTGACTCTTTAGTAATTGTAGGATAAACAAATACTTCTCTTGAAATTATAAATAAATTTTAAATTCAGATATATAAGTCCTCATAATTAATTCGACACCACACTGTCAATTTTGTTTTTATTTTTATTAAATTTTACATTATTATAGTAAAATATTTGAAACTGATTAACATAATATATTATTAAATTGAATCTCGAAAAATTATAGTGCCTCCCCGCTTCAACCCTTGGGGTAAAAGCCGACTTAGAGATTCTCCAAAGAACAAGCGTTCTTCGAGTATGATAACAGTATACTGCGATCGTCAACCATCGTGCTAAGCATGGCGACTATGGCTTTTTAAAGATTAATAAATAATATTATGACAAATCTATGCCTTCATGTATCATTCATCCGATTAAATCGCAAATTTGAAGGCAAAATATTAAGTTATTGCGGTATATTTAAAAGGCTGCAAAAGTTGTCAAATATTTAGCTACGTATTTGCTCGTTCGCTTATATACCTAGTCAGGTCATAAATTCTGTCACACGTTTAATGTAAAATAATTGAAACAAGTTTATTCATTATGTAACCATTTATACACCAAAATGAACTTAACAAAACATAGATTCTTATGACACTAAAGTTTATTCAAAATGACCTCCGTGATTTTGAATACAGGCCTTCAATCTGCGCGGCCAGTCGTCTATCGCAGCACGAACGAGGTCCATGTCAATATCGGCGGCTGCCTTAATCAAGGATGTCTTGAGTGACTCCAAATTGGGATGAGGCTTTGAGCACGCCTTTTCCTCCAAGTGTTGCCATATCTTGTAATCTAACGGATTCAAATCTGGACTGGAGGAGGGCCAGTCTTCGTGCCGGATGAAGTCGATTTCACGCGCCGCCAGCCAGTCTTGTGTGCTCTTCGCTCTATGAGCTGGCGCCGAATCTTGTTGGAATACCCAGTGCCTGTTATTGAACATGGTATGAGAAACAGGTTCCACAAGGTTCGTCAGGACTGTATTTTGATACACAACTGCATTCGTTTTTACACCTTTCTCACAAAAATGTACCTCTGTTAAGCCCCAATAAGAAACTCCCAACCATACCATGAGCGAGGATGGAAAATGACCTCGTTGGACACGCGGAATACGGTTGCTCGCTTCTTCACTACTGTGTGCGTACACCTTATCATTTTGTTTGTTGTAGCTCTCTTCTACGGTAAAAATTTTTTCATCCGAAAAAAGAATTTCCCGATATTTTTTTCCCGCGTACCGCTTCAACAAAGCGCGGCATCTCTTCAGTCTCAGGTCCATTAGACGAGCATTCAAACGATGTCCTGTTTTTCTTCGATATGCCCGAAGCCCTAAGTCTTCATTTAACACCCTTTTCACCGTGGTTCTGCTTAACCCCATCTGAAGGGCCAACAGTTTCTGCTTACGTTTGGGATTTCTTTGAATTCGCGCCTTCACAGCTTTTATCACTGCTGGAGTCCTAACAGACCGAGGGCGACCACTTCTTGACCTGTCATCTACACTAGAGTCTTCATTGTGTCGTTTGATGGTACGATAAACGAATCTTTTGGTTATATTCAAATTTGTCAGTATGTTAAAAATTTGAATTGGCGCCTAACCGCAACGATGCAACGCAATAACTGCAACACGGTCTTCTTTAAGCGTCCACTTCATATTTAAAAATGAGTAAAATTCTAAAAGTATACATTTTTATTTTTATGAACAATTCGAAATTCGAATTCAATAAACTTTTTTGTGGCCAGCATTCTAAAAGAAAAGTTTTTACTGTGTGACAATACTTATGACCTGACTAGTTATATTTATCGCAGTAATATTCTTTAAGTAGCCTAACAAAAGTAACTTCGTTTTCTTCAAAAAAATCGGTAGACGATACACAATATACAATTTATTTAAAAAAAAATTGCTTTGATGTGCGGACGAGCCCACCTTGTGTTAAGTGGTTACTGGAGCCCATGGACGTCTACAACGTAAATGCGCCACTCACCTTGAGATATAAGTTCTACGGTCTCAGTGTAGTTACAACGGCGGCCGCACCCTTCAAACCGAAACGCATTAATGCTTCACGACAGAAATAGGCGGTGGTACCTACCCGTGCGGACTCACAAGAGGTCTTACCACCAGTGTAGTAAGATTTTTTTTTATGTTGACAGTTTTATTTGCGTAAAATATCAATGTGTCAATCAATTTTTTTCAATAGCTTTGTGGCGGTAGCCATCATAAAACGCAAGATATTTTGTCATTAAATCTAGAGCTTGTTGTTATTTTGTGACTTATTATCATTGCTACAGAAATGGTGGGACTTTTAATAAAAAACTGCGAAAAGTAGTTTTGACAGTTCTCTCGTGATAATAACCATGGAGTTAATAAGTACCTACCTACAACTGGAGTGCTGTCTAATGCCGAGAAGCCGGTCTCGAAAGAGAAAACATTTTGGTCGCGGTGTCCTTGTCTGTGGTGACCATATAAAATTTATTTAAAGGACAAAATTATACAGATGTATATCAATATTGAATTTTACATCAAGTATTTTTGTGTAGCCCTATGTAAACACAAAACGCGTGCTTGCGACAGTTTATTTATGTAAATGAAATTCTAAACATTGCTTCGTCTAACACTTTCGTAGGTCAGACATATATTAAGTGTTTAATCTATGGGTCAGACGGTTTTTTTGGGAATTACTTCGTTGTCTAGCATTATCATATAGCATATATAGCAAAATCTAGCACTGAGTTTTGTTTCATTACCTCCGTACTATAATCAGTTAAAATACAAATCTATGATAATAACTTAACAGTACCTACTACGAACTATAACGTAGTGATTACTTATTCAGTGCTACGAACGACGTTCTTTCGATGTAATAATTTAAAAAGCAACAATTTAATCCGCGGTAATCCGGGATTCACTACATATAGTCTGTGTAATTTAACTACCTTTTGACAAAAATGGTTGTAACTTTATGACTGCTGATCAAAAATATTTATAAAGATAATACGGTTTTTCTAGGTACTGTTTAAGATTTTTTTATTGGATCGACTTCCGAATGAATCGATTTCGAATTTTTGGAGAATTCGAATCCGAACAATGCTCAAAAGCGGCTTAGTGAATTTGGCCTCCTTTTTTCGATTTTCGGATTTTTTTTATTTTTAATTATTTGTTCATTTGTTCGTTGTTTGTTCGTTAATGTTCGAATGTAAAAAATGTTTGTTCGTCTTTTATTTATTTATAATTAATTAAACACATGATCACCCTTAAGTAGGCCCCCTTTACTAGATACCCTTTATTTTTATCGCTCAGATTAATTAATTTTGATCAATTATCGTTTGCTCGATGACTATTGGTGATTGATAGATCATAAAAACAAATTCCCAATTATTAATTATTTTATATCTAATAAGCAAACCATCGTCTCACGCCACCTTTTTTGATTTTGTTATTTTTATTTTTAATTATTTGCTCGTCGTTTGTTCGTTAATGTTCTGATTTCTGACTTCCATTGCGGAAATTCATCATTGGCGAAATCGACCGGCACAGCTGCTACAGGTAGCATAATAAGTTACTTGAAAGCTGCCTGTAAGAGAAAAGATAACAACAAAAAAATTATAAAATAATCAGATAAAAAAATTATTAATATATTAACCTTTTACACTTAACGTAGTTCGTAAATTTTCTTACAACAATGGAAGCAACAATGATCTTTATTTATTATTGCAAAAAAAATAAAATTATCGATAAAGTGGAGGACATATGCCGATATAGTAAAATTTGATTTTATCGTGGAAATATTTGACAAATTTGTTATTTTATAACTAAAATTCTATTATTTGTTATTTTAGTTATAAAATTAGTTATAAAAACTATTATTTGTTATTTTATAACTAAAATAACAAATAAAAAATAACAAACAACAAATAATAAATAACAAATAACAAGTGTGATGAGTTCCAGTTTTAAAAATATTTTTTTTCCGAAAATTCACCTTTAATTGATCGTCAGTTATTATTATACATATATTTATTATACTGGTAGTGCTGACAACTAACAAATGACGACTACGTCCGTTTATTTTTAGATTAGATATGCAATATTAAGTTTCGATCTTTAATTTTTAAAATTTTAAGCTTTTTTTTTTTAAATATGAACTACAAAATATTTGTTGTTATAATTGTGTGACTTACCTTTATTATTTTCACATTGCTATTCAAGTAACATAGATTCTTTATTAATTACTTTAATAATTACACAGTAAAAAGGCACTTGTTAACAAAACGCTAGTAAATACGGCCATTCCCAGCTGACCGACAAAACAGGTGCATGCGCAATATAGGCGTGGGGCGATGGTTTGCTTAATAGATATAAAATAATTAATAATTGGGAATTTAATTATCTTTATGATCGAACAATCACCAAAAAGTCATCGAACAAACGATAATTGATCAAAATTAATTAATCTGAGCGATAAAAATACAGATATCTAGTAAAGGGGGCCAACTTAACGGTGATCATTTGTTTAATTAATTATAAATAAATAAAAGACGAACAAACAATTTTGACATTCGAACATTAACGAACAAATAATTAAAAATTAAAAAATTCCGAAAATCGAAAAAAGAGAGGCTAAATTCACTGAGCCGTCAGACTTGCGTAGTAACTATTATACTAATCTGTGGTCAGACCACAGATGGCATTCATAGACTTCATTTTAGAATGACATTGGCTCACAATTCTTACTTCTTAGTTCTAGTTGGAATTTAAGACGTTGAGTTGCAACTTTATGAATAATTAATTTTGTATTGTATTTAATATATCGTTAGAAAATAAATAAAAATAATAATATTTAATTTTAAACTCGTGACAAAACTCGTTATATAAATAGAGACCGAATCTATTTTGTTTTGTAAACAAAAATAAAACAAAAGTGTCAGACGATGAACTTCGGCTAGGTTTATTAATTGGTACTCTAAAACTAACTAAAAAATAAAACATGGGTAAAATAAATAATTCGTTTTTTTGGGGAATAATTTTCGCGTCGGCAACGTGGAGTATTTCGCTTTACTTATATTGGTTACTTAATATGAGCGGTTAGTATTTACTCAAGTGGAATTATGTGTTCTGAAAGTAAATAACCATTAATATAGTGTAAACTAACGTAATATTAAAAATATTTGACCAGAAATACATTTGAAATACTTATATAATCATCTAGAGTTTAGCAAATACTTATCTCACATGGTTAATTAATATGCAAATAACAAGTTTTATTGTATAATTTTGTTTCTAAAAATAGTGGTAAAATTATTAGAGAAACATCTAAATTGCTAACTTAATTTTAAATTAATTTCTATGCTATTTCATTAATCTTAGTGAAGTACAAAAAAACAGAAATTAGAAACACTTAATTTTATATCATTTTACTTTAAATAGTTTTTGACATTTCATTTTCAATAGCACCAAACTAAATGTGGTCTAAAGCTCATTTACAATACCAAGCGTTTTGCATTTAACCCCAAGCTAGGAATTCCTTATGTACTATGTGTCTAAATCTAAATTGAATGAATGCCAAAATATTTCAAACAACATATTAACTGGCTGATAACTGTGCACAGACCACACAATATTTGGTTTCTTTTATCACTAAACCAGTAAATTAACAAGGAAATAAAAACTACATGCATTCATAAGCAGTTGCGATATAGCTACATCTATGACATAATTCAGTACTTTGGTTTTTACAAAGATAAAAGACTGCTCTATCCATTAAATGATTCATTGTGACATTCATAAGTGCAGTTCAAATCTGCCTTACCCTAGTAATAGTAGTAAAGCAATTGAATAAGTAAAGCAGGTTTGGTTTTATAATATGATGTTATTCCTTGACTATGGAAGACATTAATGAGCATGTTAGATTATTTATTTATTTGGAGTAATTGGCACCAATCTCAACTTCTAAAGTCTGACTGAAAATCTGTTTACTTTTTTTAATTGTTTTTATTGCTTAGATGGCTCACAACTCACCTGGTGTTAAGTGGTTACTTGAGCCTATAGACATCTACAACGTAAATGCACCACCCACCTTGAGATATCAGTTCTAAGGTCTCAGTATAGTTACGATGGCTGCCCCACCCTTCAAACCGAAATGCATTACTGCTTCACGGCAGAAATAGGCAGAGCGGTAGTACCTACCCGTGCGGACTCACAAAAGCTCCTACCACCAGTAATTATAATTTTAATTTTGAGTGTTTGATTTTTATTACACTATGTTATTCCTTCACCGTGGAAGTCATTCATGAACATTTGTTAAGTACGTATTCCATTAGAAAAATTGGTACCCGCCCGCGGGATTTGAACACCGGTGCATCGCTAGATATGAATGCACCGGACGCCCTATCCTTTGAGCCACGACGACTTCAAAATTACTATAATAGTGATTCCACGACTACTTACCCTAATAGTGATTCCATAAATTTCTCTAAAATTAGTCATGTAATTTGTACTCAAAATCACATTTCATTTACAATTACAGTTCTGAATTTATTCTTGGGATTCAGCAAGGCCTCATTTTTTGGGTTTTTTTTGCTCAATTTATGACTTATTGTATAAAATAATCAATAGCTACATATTTTAGAAGTTACAAATAAAAAACCACAAGAAGAAGAACTTCTGATATTGGGAAATTAACTAAAAATTATTTTTAAGATCTTTTCCAACAAAACCTGCTAGTTGCACTTTACATATGTATGTATTTACTTTGTATTTGATTCGCCTGCTGTGAAATCAGATATGCCCAAAACCATCCTTGGAAAAATTATATTAGCATCAATTAACACTTTTCTTAAGTTCTAACAAAAGAAAAATTATCCTTAAATGATACAAAATTTTTAGGTAATCAGATAGTAAACAAAGCAACAAAAGTCCACTATCGACCACTTAACTGGGATATCAAAGATCGTATAAAGAACAATGATAAATCTATTGCAGCATTGGAAGGGAAGGATTTACTCAGTGACCAACCAAGAGATGTGGAGGAAACATTGTCAAAGACAATGTGGAAATATCAAGATTATAAGAGACAATCAGAGTACCGAAGAAAAGTGATACTAAAAGAAAAATTTGCTAAACAGCAAGCTATTAAAATGTCAAAAAAGACTGAAAATGATTTAGGTAACTACATGATTAATATTGATATTTTGGTTTTATAAGTATTGCAGTGCAATAAACTATTTTTGTTATTAAAAGGATGAAGGGATATTTCTCATATCCCATCTGATCTACAAAATAAATAAGGAGAGCAAAATCATATGTGAATTTCAAACTAGAGTTCCTAGATTGTCTTGTAATGTTGTTTAGCATAAAGTGTTTTCATAAATGTCTATAAACTTAGAGCAGTCTGTTATCATAGCTAGTATTGATTGAATTGGAATACATACTTAGTTGCACTTTATTCGCTTAGTCACTGACATCAGTTGCAGTTGACCCACTTTTACACTATATTAAAATTAACATATTAATGACCACTACCCTGATAAGGCCTATTTTAATGTATATTATTATAAAATGAAGATAATAATATTTATTGCATTATTTTACAGTCTTGCACTTTCAATACAAATGATAACAGATGATGTTTATGAACACAATTAACATACTTAAGTCAGTAATACATTATTTTAGTTCTATTATGAAACTGATACTCAACAAACTACAATAAATCCACCTTTAAGGGTCCCAAGAAACAGGTCTTAGGGTCCAGAACCGCTATATCCTACAAATATGTTAGGCAAATTTAAATGTCTTCAACAAAGACACTAGCTTCAGCCGAGAATCAAGCCAAGAGCCTGTAGTAATCTCACTAACCATAATACAAATGAGACATTCGAATATTAATAAATGTTTTAATTAATAAATATAAAAAAATATAATTATATAAAAAAAATTAATATTAATTGTTTGTAATTTTCAAAATCTGAATTATAAGAATCATGGCTATGTACCCAGAGATATTGTTGAAATAACCTAACAAGACATTTAGGTTTTATGTAGCAATGTATATCGATTAGTGAAAATACACTTTTTCAAAAACTTTCAGAAGAACAATTTGGCTTGATAAGAAATTCAGAAGATTTAAGAATCCGAGACAAAGGTTATAATCTTCATGCTTTCAATACACTTATATCTCAAAGAATCGGAGACCATAGGGACTTACCAGATACCAGGAATAAACTGTAAGTACTACTACTGTACTACTAAATATTTGTGAATGTTGATGCCTGTATGTATATGAGCTTCATCAAAGCTTAGGAGTTATACAGTAGATATTTCTTATATTTCCAAATAAATAAATTTTGACCAAATAAATTCACAAAAGATGTTAGTAATTTTAGCTTCCTGTATCAAGTAGTTTTAGCTTCCTGTATCAAGTAGTTTTAGCTTTTAAAAAATAAGCAGGAAAAATATATTATAGATGTGACAGGATAAAAAAATATTTAAAGTATAGTAACCGGCAAACATCGTGAGCAAATGACCTTGACTGCGCAGAACCGAATTTTAGATCACTTTGGTGGTGAGGGTGAGGCGCGACGGCAGGGGAAATCGTATCGAGCGCGTTATTGGTAGATCAGTCGAACCTTGCGTCCCGCACCGCGCCCTCGTTCCGTTTGCTCCCAAAAGTACGCTTGCGTACAGTGAAAAGTCTATCGTTATTAATCGTTAAGTTATTTGTTATAATTGCTTGTTGACTTTGTTGCCATTGCTATTTGTTGAGTGTTTGTTGATTTTTTATAAAAAATACACTATGCCGCGACAAACTGGTGTAGTATTCAAAAGAAAGGGTAGAAAAATTGTGTACGACGTATATTGCTTCATTATAAAACAGGGGAAGAATGATATTATGGAAAAAGTAAAACAGACTTCGGAAGCAACAAAAACATCAGTGAGTACTGTTAGGTGCATTATTAACGAAGCTAAAGGCTCTGGCTTGCTCATCGTGCTTGGGACTCCGGGTAAGAAAAGATCAGGGAAGAAGAAAGTTACCGGAATGGATAGTTTCGTTCAATCTGTAATAAAAAGATGTAATCATAATAACTACATAACAGGCAGCGAAACTCCGTACCGTAAAAAGGCTTCGAAAATTTTAAAGAAGATATACATTTTAATGGCTCGGAATGAAGTTTACGACGAATTATGAAAGAGCTAGGCTTCAGATGGAAAAAAAAAACAGAAAATAATCGGAAGCTGGTAATTGAAAAAAGTAACATTCGATTACTACGAATCGAATATCTTCAAAAAATAATTAATTATAGACAAAAAAGAAGATCGAACCGACCGAGTCGTAAACTACACCGATGAGCCCTATGTCGACTTATCACGATGATGGCGACTCGGGTGATGAAAACAGTGATGATGATAATGGTCAAGATTATGATAACGAAAAAAAAATTACAAATACCAGCTTCGCTTCAACTGAACGAAGACCTGGCAACAGCTCTAGTTTTGACTTAATAGAAGGAATATCTATTTTACCCCAAGATTAAATTATTACAGTTATTAACCTATATTTTTTGTTGATGTTCTAATAAATATATAAATAAATACATATGTTGATTTTAATAATTTAATTGCATTATGACGCAGAGTAAATAATGTTTTTGCACGTGAGTGTACCATGCGCAAACTTACCCCCACTACGTCAACAAATGCTCAAGAAGTTTGCCGGCTATTATAGCACTGATGGTAAAATTTATATGTAACAAAAAAATAATTTACTCCACGTGTAGAAGTATTTTATATTGGTTTGAAAATTACAACAAAAAACCACGATTTTCAGGTGTCAATCGCAACAATACTTTGATGAATTACCCCGGGCGTCAATTATAATCTGTTTCTACAATGAACATTTCGAAACATTGATGCGATCAGTACATTCTATCATGGATAGAACGGATCAGAAGCACATAAAAGAAATTATACTTGTTGATGATTACAGCGACTTAGATAATTTGCATCATGATGTACAGGAGGCGGTAGATAAATTGAATAATGTTATAAAGAAAGAGGAAGAGATGATCGAAACTAATAATATTGATATGGAAAATGTTGTAGATTACATAAACGATGACAATTATGATAAGAAAAGCACTGAAAATAGTGAGGTCAAGAATAATGTTTTTAATATAAGACTTTTAAAAACGAGTAAGAGAGAAGGACTTATTCGGGCAAGACTCTATGGTGCCGACAACAGTGTGGGTGATGTATGTATTTAGTCTTTTCTAGGTTTTCTATTTAGGCTTTCACGACTTTTATGACGATTACGAAGAATTATTACATGGCTTTTGCACTGTAATAATACTGTGAATGTTCATATGAACAGGCTACAGATAAAATATAGGTATATTAAAGAAAAAAAAATTAAGTGATCGATATAAAATAAAATCATTTTTCAGGTCTTCGTATTTTTAGATTCACATATCGAAGTGAATGTGGGCTGGTTGCCGCCGCTTCTGAAGCGTTTGTCCCAAGGTGTGGACGGAGTGAAAGTGCGATACTCGGCTCGTGCCGTGACGCCTGTCATTGACGTGATAAACGCTGACACCTTTGAGTACTCGCCCAGTCCACTTGTGAGGGGTGGATTTAATTGGGGACTGCATTTTAAATGGGACAATCTGCCAAAAGGAACGCTCATAAGTCAGTTGTTTTTTTTAAATCAAGCCTTTACAAATAAATTCATTTTATGATCATACATGTAAAACAGGGGGGGGTGGTGGTAAAGATAACATTGTGTCTGATCTGTCTCGTCAAGTAAATGTTTTTAATTATGATTTAAATAACAGTAAAATAATTTTAAAAGTAGTTTTGGATTTAATAAATGCGAAGTAGGTAACTGTTTCAGTAGATTTATATTAAAACAATAATTTTCAGACGATGAAGATTTCATGAAACCCTTGAAATCTCCGACAATGGCTGGTGGCCTCTTCGCTATATACAGAGAGTATTTTAATGCGATTGGAAAATACGATCCTGGCATGAATGTATGGGGTGGTGAAAATTTAGAAATATCTTTTAGAGTGAGTTGCTTAAATTAGTTGTTATTATAATCGGTAAGATTTGTGTCGATTGCTAGATTATCTAAGATAATCTACGGAACAACTGGATTGCCTAACAAATAATAGGAGTACTAAAATAAAGTTTACTATACTAGTAAAATAAAAACGTTGACATTGCTCTTGAAAGAAGGTACATATAGTTACGATCAGATTCCACTTCACGAACATGAGGGAAGTTTGTACTTTATTAAAAAAAATAGGCACTTGCCTGCGGGATTTGAACACCGACCAAGTTGCATCGCTCGATACGAGTACAGTACCCGACGATAAATATTGCACATCGATCTTTGGAGCAAGACAATCGGTTAAATTCGGATTATTATAGTGTTTATCTCTGTTGCACGAAACACTAATACTCCGACCACACACTATCGGACTTGAACAACGATTAACAAACTTCACATAGGCAGCGTGCGACAGAGATAACGCTATACAAGGCGAAATTAGCGGGTCGTCTCTTTCCAATGGTCGACACGCAATATTTCTAGTCGGGTACTGTAAATCAAGCTTTTTGTCATTTAGATAATGTCTTTGAAGCTCATCCTCTTCCAAATATTAAATACTATTAAATATTATATAACAAAAAAAAAATTAAGTTCACTCTCCTCTCTAATTCGATTCACTGCTCCAAGTATTAAAATTTCAGACATATAGGTACAAGGTCGGTCATATGTTCTAATATTGGCAAACGACCTGAAGTTGGATCAAAAGCTGGACTAAAAGTTCTATTAATTCTAGAAGAAAACAATGTTTTAGATATGGATGTGTGGTGGTTCGTTAGAGCTGATCCCTTGCAGTCGAGTCGGGCACGTGTTTCGTAAGAGGCGACCGTACGGTGTAGGCGAGAAGCAGGACTACATGCTTCAGAACTCTATGAGGATGGCTCGAGTGTGGATGGATGATTATGTGGTGAATATTATTATTATTAATATTATAGAAATATGCTTAGTTTGTATTTTGCGAATTGGAATATATTTAAAAATGGAATATCCATTTATTTTGTTGCTTTAAATTTCTGAAAGAGTTTAAGGTTCATTAGTTTCATTTGATAAAGGCCCATTAGGTGATCAGAACTTTAGTTGCATTTTATAAAATTATTAGCTGTACCCGTCCGCTTCGCTGGGCATTTAAAATTAATTTTATTATTTCTCACCCCCACAAAGATTCTCATCATTAACGCCCCCGCAACTGGTGTAGGTAGTCCAACGCTCATATAAATATTAGCCTATCCATTAAGTTCATGTATTTTCTACATAGATACCAAGTTTCAAGTCAATCGGATGCATGGTTCAGTAGTTATAACGGAAAATCCGTAGAAACCATATAAGTATAGATTGTATTACCGTCGGTCATGAATAAACGTGCAGATTTACGTTCTAATGATTTTGATTGAAAATTAATTTCAACATTCCGTTAAATACGATTGATACAGTATAATAAAACAAAAGCATATTAACATTTTCACTGAGATTCACTGGCGCTGCTATAATTCGTTCTAGGGAATTCTTGCTTGAATTTAAATTGAATTTTTAATTCAATTAGTTTCTCTGTAAACGTTACTAGCTGTTTTTTACAAGATTATCTATATCTGAACGAAATTAAATGTGTGTTCAGAAAAAGGTGATAGAAGTGAATCCGTCGGCGGCTCACGTGGAAATCGGCGATATATCAGAACGGAAAGCGTTGCGCGAACGTTTGCAGTGCAAAACGTTTAAGTGGTACTTGGACAATGTTTACCCGGAACTGGAGACGGGCGAAAACACCCAGGCCAAGAAGAGGATGGCGGCTCTGAACGACGCCGAGAAGAATAAGTTTCAGCCGTGGCATTCGAGGTACCTAATCAATTAGACAAACTAAAGCCACGTCCTTACGGATCCAATTACTCTTGCACCAGATACCTTCAGGTCTAACGCTAGGAGCAGGCTGAGGAACCCCGGTAACCGTACTCGTCGAACTCGACAAAGAGGTCGACAAAGAGGTCGACGTGCAACCTAACCCGTGCATCAGGTCGCTGAGTTTCTCGCCGGATCTTCTCAGCGGGTCGCGATTCCGATCCGATAGTAGATTCATTCTCGAAGCTGTTACTCTTGAGTTGTTAGGTCTCCTTCGGAGGCGCTCGGGCAGCTGTTAGCAAATCCCATCCCTCCTGGCTGAGCCTTTGCTCCCCCACCTGTCCTGGTGAAACTGGAAAGGCCTTCGGGCCACTAGTAATCTTTCAGTCATAAAAAAAAAACTAAAGCTGCTATTTCATAAACCACTTTTCTAGGTCCGTTTTTGAATTGCACCACTCAACCTCAGTATTTTTAGATCACACTTAATACTTACGTACAGCTTGTTTCATCGGTCTGCCTATGTATGTACGTTTTGAAAAAAAAAAGATGTGTAGTGTCGTGGGACACCGGATAGGAATGAAGTTCCTTACTATAAAAATATTAATTTTAAGTTCTATTCTAGGTATAAAGAAAATAAAACTGGAGGTTTCGCCACAACCCACGGTTGTTTGCATTCGAGTTAGTATAATGCGCAAACGAACGCTCTGAGATCATGGTCAATGAATGATAAAAAAATATGTTATTTTTGTACGTTATTACAAAGTTAAGTCGTACACTGTGTGCATTACTAATAAAAATCTTACGTTACGGACGTTTTTTCCCGGTTAGGGTACCCCTCCGCAACGTCCCATAGGAACTTCTTCCACTATATAATAGTTTCGAGTTTTAATAGTTTTTTAATTGTCTACAAAAAAAAACAGTGATATATGTATGTATATTGAAAGTGTACTGAGGGGAGTGTAAAGCTGCTTTTAGACTACGCTATCCTATAGTGCCATATAGTATAACAGCCTATACTTAGCCAATAATATATAGTACAATACAGTGTGAACGTGTCAATAACAATGTATGGTGCACGATATTGTTGTGCTATGAGTTATATACTATATGCTATTATATTATAGCGTAGTCTGAAAGCGCCTTAACTCATTAGTATGTCATCGACAATCTTTCAAGATGGTTGCGTGAAAGCATCCATTTGCAATTTTGGCAAGATTTAATTGCATTTAATGATAATTAGTTAGTTGAATCGGTAAGTGCCACGATCGCTTATAATGAATGCAATATTTATTTCAGGAAACGTAATTACACAGATTCATACCAGATACGATTGAAGAACACGTCTCTTTGCATGCAAAGCGCTAAGGACATAAAAACGAAAGGCAGTGGCCTAGTGCTCGCTAACTGCATAAGAACTCTTAATCAGGTATGTCATAGTTTATCTTAATTTTAGAAAACTTCTATTTAGCGCAAACAACGAATGTTACAACTACATATATCGACATTCTGATGTACTGTTCAAGAACACATAAAGGATTAATATGTTGATACTCTTTTTATTTGACTAGATTATGAAAAATATAATTCAATGAGCTGATTTTCGCGTATTTTATCGAATGCCTAACGACTCCGACTTACTGTACTCTGAACCTGCCTATTTCTGCCGTGAAGCAGTGATGCGTTTCGATTTGAAGGGCGGGGCAACCGTTGTAACTATACTGAGACTTTAGAACTTATATCGCAAGGTGGTTTTATTTATTTATTTTTTATTAGATGTGTGGACGAGCTCACAGCCCACCTGGTGTTAAGTGGTTACTGGAGCCCATAGACATCTACAACGTAAATGCGCCACACACCTTGAAAACACACACCTTGGGTGGCGGCATTTACGTTGTAGATGTCTATGAGCTCCGGTAACCCCTTAACACCAGGTGGACCGTGAGCTCGTCCACAAACCCAAGCAACAAAAAAATATTTGAAAGTGATTGCTGGTTGAGTTAATACTTATTAGAAAATCCTTGATTAGGGCTGCTGAGAATGAATTTTTTTAAATAGAATTTACTCTTTAACACTTGATCTCATTTAAGATTTGATGGGTAGTAAAATTGACAAAAACAGTTATGTTCAAACGGGTTAAAGGACTCTCACATGACAGTTTTAAATCAAATTGTACGTTATGAAATTTATCTATCTATCAGATCTAATGTCAGTTCAGTAACCTGTGTATTTTTTATTTATTGCATAGATGGGTGGACAAGCTCACCGCCCACTTAGTGTTAAGTTACTGGAGCTCATAGACATCTACAACGTAAATACCGCCACGCATCTTGAGATGTGAGTTCTAAGATCTCAGTATACATAGTTACAATAAATTACAACGGCTGCCCCACCCTTCAAACCGAAACGCATCACTGCTTCACGGCAGAAATAGGCAGTGTGGGTACCTACCCGTGCGGACTCATAATAGGTCCTACCAGTAAACGAGTTTGCATAGTAGATATACCGAAAATTTGGAATAGATTCTAACACAGTAATATAGATGCGTAACAATATACCGAAAATTTGGAATAGATTCTAACACAGTAATATACATGCGTAACAATATACCGAAAATTTGGAATAGATTCTAACACAGTAATATAGATGCGTAACAATATACCGAAAATTTGGAATTGATTCTAACACAGTAATATACATGCGTAACAATATACCGAAAATTTGGAATAGATTCTAACACAGTAATATAGATGCGTAACAATATACCGAAAATTTGGAATAGATTCTAACACAGTAATATACATGCGTAACAATATACCGAAAATTTGGAATAGATTCTAACACAGTAATATACATGCGTAACAATATACCGAAAATTTGGAATAGATTCTAACACAGTAATATACATGCGTAACAATATACCGAAAATTTGGAATAGATTCTAACACAGTAATATACATGCGTAACAATATACCGAAAATTTGGAATAGATTCTAACACAGTAATATACATGCGTAACAATATACCGAAAATTTGGAATAGATTCTAACACAGTAATATACATGCGTAACAATATACCGAAAATTTGGAATAGATTCTAACACAGTAATATACATGCGTAACAATATACCGAAAATTTGGAATAGATTCTAACACAGTAATATACATGCGTAACAATATACCGAAAATTTGGAATAGATTCTAACACAGTAATATACATGCGTAACAATATACCGAAAATTTGGAATAGATTCTAACACAGTAATATACATGCGTAACAATATACCGAAAATTTGGAATAGATTCTAACACAGTAATATACATGCGTAACAATATACCGAAAATTTGGAATAGATTCTAACACAGTAATATACATGCGTAACAATATACCGAAAATTTGGAATAGATTCTAACACAGTAATATACATGCGTAACAATATACCGAAAATTTGGAATAGATTCTAACACAGTAATATACATGCGTAACAATATACCGAAAATTTGGAATAGATTCTAACACAGTAATATACATGCGTAACAATATACCGAAAATTTGGAATAGATTCTAACACAGTAATATACATGCGTAACAATATACCGAAAATTTGGAATAGATTCTAACACAGTAATATACATGCGTAACAATATACCGAAAATTTGGAATAGATTCTAACACAGTAATATACATGCGTAACAATATACCGAAAATTTGGAATAGATTCTAACACAGTAATATACATGCGTAACAATATACCGAAAATTTGGAATAGATTCTAACACAGTAATATAGATGCGTAACAATATACCGAAAATTTGGAATAGATTCTAACACAGTAATATACATGCGTAACAATATACCGAAAATTTGGAATAGATTCTAACACAGTAATATACATGCGTAACAATAAATGACAGCACGTTTAAAAATCTCCAGTCGCGCTACGAAGCTGATACGAACATTATTTAACAATTTTAATTAATAAAATTTTTAATCGTATATACAATTTATTTACGTACGTTTTCTATATTTCTGAATAAATGTGGTTCTACAGAAATTTCTATATCGTCGCTGTCAAACAAAAATCTGCTATGTGCAATAACTCTATTTTGAATTAACGAATAAAAACATTTTCGTATAAAATTTTATATGAAAATGATTTTTTAAGAACTATTGTCAAATGAAAGCTATAGATAAATATTAACACATAACAGTTTTTTTTATACGGTAGATAGGGCTTTTGAAGTTATCGTGGCCTAAAGGATAAGACGTGCATTCGTATATAGCGATGCACCGGTGTTCGAATCCCGCAGGCGGGTACCAATTTTTCTAATGAAATACGTACTTAACAAATGTTCATGATTGACTTCCACGGTGAAGGAATAACATCGTGTAATAAAAAATCAAACCCGCACAATTATAATTTGCGTAATCACTGGTGGTAGGACCTCTTGTGAGTCCGCACGGGTAGGTATCACCACCCCGCCTATTTCTGCCGTGAAGCACTAATGCGTTTCGGTTTGAAGGGTGGGGTAGCTGTTGTAACTATACTGAGACCTTAGAACTTATATCTCAAGGTAGGTGGCGCATTTATATTGTAGATGTCTATGGGCACCAGTAACCACTTAACACCAGGTGGGCTGTGAGCTCGTCCACCCAAATAAGCAATAAAAAAAAATTAAACAGTGCGTTTTCTATATTTCTGAATAAATGTGGTTCTATAGATTTGTTATTATATTTTTTTGTATCGTTTTTTCTATAGATGTGGTTCGAAACGGATCGTAGCGAGCTGGTGCTCGGCCGGACATTATGTCTGGACGCATCGAACAACGTGGCGCCGATATTAGGAAAGTGTCACGAAATGGGTGGAACACAGGAATGGAAACACAAGGGCACTGTGAGTGATAATCATTTATGACTTAAACAATAGTTTCATAACAAAAAAAAACATGCCGTAAAAATTATTAATAGCTGACTTGTGAACCCTAGCTGCTGGTAATGCAGTCTTAACATGGAACACTAGCATACAGTATTTTCTTTAGACTTCGATAGTCGTAAATATAATTGAAATATATTATTAGTTAAAATTTTTGTATAACTAATTTACACATTAAGCGGCGAAGGACAACCTAATAGGTTTTTATTTTTATTTTGAGTGAGTGTACGCTTGCGGCTCGTAGGTTTTCACTACCTACCGAAACCTTTGAGTTATGAAGTCAAAATCCTAATTGTATTGCTTAAATGGCTCTTTCACCCTTCAAGCCGGAAATAATGACTTCTTAACACTAAACATACCATAGCGGGTCAAATGACCCATTTTGAACTTTTGCATTGAATATCCACCGTATCATCATATTGCTTTTTTTTAATGCTTAGATGGGTGAAAGAGCTTACAGCCCACCTGGTGTTAAGTGGTTACTTAAGTTTTGCACTTTTGACTTCATTACTTTTACTTACCAATTAATGTACAGATAATATACTTTTGTTTTGTTTTGAGTAATACTTGTTGTGTACCGTTATTTGCCCGCTATGGTAGAAATAGGTACCAGTAAGCGTTGATATGATTAGTGTTTATATTATAGTGGTATTTACCCGTGCACGCTCATGTTACGACGCGCTACCTTGTTTTTTCGGTGACTATTAGTCGAAATCGAACGAATAACATATAATCTAGATTTTCAAGTAACCAATGCCTTCTTTGTAATTAAAATACTAAATTCGTCTTACCTCTATTTAGGAATTTCAGGGCAGAATCTAGAGCCACCAGCCAGAGTTAAAAAAAAAAAACAAATTGTCTTTGACTTCACCACTGACGTTGTTTTTTTTTTCAGGCGAGTTCTCCTATTTATAACACGGCGGCCGGAATGTGCCTTGGCGTGGACCGATCGTACAGAGGTGAAACCGTCTTAATGGTTATCTGCGATGACTATTCCAATAACAAATGGGACATAGTCAGGTCTTAAGTGCTTTTCAGTCGCCTTCTATTCTGCTAAAACAATGAATGACGCATTGCCCGAATATTTCTTTCGTGTATATAGATACTACTAAATAATAATTTTTATATTTAATTTAGTTGGAGAGCATGTCTTGCCATCCATTTGAATCGGGTCATGGACGAAATTGCCAAAACGGTGCCAAGAGTATTAATTATTTTCGAACGTAATAATTAGATTCATAATAATAATATAAAGCCATTTTCCACTACGTAACTACTCTCATTAGGCGACTATTGTCCTAAGTGAATGACGGAAAACAACAATTTGTGACACTATGCCTTTTTGCCATTTTCTATCATTAATAGTGCCAGCGGGTTGTGCTTCGGTATAAACAATTTCTAGTTAGGTTGGTATGTATTTTATCCCACTCTATTTGTTCATGCGAAGCCGTAATTAAGTAAGCAACTCCATCGATAATATTTCGAATAAGATTCATGCTTAAATAATGAATTGAAATGATAACTAATAGGCTCTTTACCTAACCAGGACGCTGACTATGAGCTATTTCGCAGCTTCTTTATAGATCGATTTTCTTGTTGCTACGAAAGAGGTCTTAGAATAAAATTGTAAATATTTGTTGAGTAGGGAAGAGAAGAAAATATCAGGGTTGACGTAATTCAAATGAAAATTTGCTTAAGACATGAATTTAATTGTTTTATTTGTACTATAATTAAAGTTTTTAATAATGTAATATGATTAAATTGGATTGGCTTCTTAGACCGCAACCTTAGAAGGACCGTTGAAAACAACCGTATGCAACCGTATCACGTCATTACGGATCCTACTGTTTCATTAACGGTGCTTTTAAGTACCACAACCACCGGTCACCGTCCTCGCCGAACCCGTCAATTGCGATGAAGGGCTCGACGAGCGAATTAACCTATAAACACAGCCCACTGAGTTACTCGCCGGATCTTCTCAGTGGGTCGCGTTTCCGATCCGGTGGTAGATTCTGCGAAGCACTGGTCTTCCTAGGGTTAGTGTTAGCAACGTCGTCAGGTTTCAGCCCCTTGGCTCACCTACTCGCTCTGTAAATCTATTATAACTCCTCGAGGTTATTAGAATAGAATAGGTTTAAAAAAATAAGGAGTACCTACCATCTGTAACTGTTCCAAATTTCAATACAACCGGGTGAACGGTTTACGAATGCATAGTGGACAAATTTACAATGAAATAAAGTTCTCATCCAGCCCCTAATTTACGTCCTTTAGAGTAAAAATGTTAGGGCGAAGCTGAAATAGCCTCTCAAGGCTGTCAGCATAAGTAGGAAAAAAAGTAACCGTATTATTTAACAGAATGGATAAGTGTTTATTATACTAGACGTTAGTGGAATGAATACGCACGGCCATTGGAAAATAGCTCTAACACATTGAAGCGCAAAGTTTAATGTTGTATAATTTCATAATCAAATTTCATTTATTATGGATTAATGAAGTTTTAGTATTTGTGCTAGTTACCAACATGATTCCGTTCAAGGTATGGTAAGATTTACCTGTTGTAAAACCTATTTGAAGAGTTGTCCCTAATGACACATGAAGTTTATCGTGATTAAGTTCTTTTTTTACGTTTTTTTATTCGTCCAAAATATTTTGTATTTTAGCAGTATTTAGTTTGAAATGTAAATTTTTTTTTATAGTTTAAAATTTAAGTTTTTTAGTGTACGTTGCCAATGTAGAATGGATTCCTAACAGTAGGCAATAAGATAAAGTATTTTTTTCAAACTAATCTTTTTAATTAGTGCTTTATGTATAAATAGGTTTTTAAGTTGTGTGTGTCCATGTTAAAAGATATGTTCTTGATTCAGATGAGCTGTTTCGATTGATTTAAAATAGAGATGGATCGGGTAGCCGTTTAGTGTTGGACACCGGATCGAGTGAATTCAGCTCTTATTGTTTATGGCATAAATCAGTAGTTTCATTGACTCTTTCAATCTGTTGTAAACAGGACGAAAGGGGACAGGGCAAAAGGACATGGGGAACTTAAAAAAATATTTTCTATATTTAACCATCCTGTTGCAGTGAATAGGAGTAAATTTCAAGGTGGCCTTATCTATAAAGAGAAGCGTTAGTATACTTATCAATGTAGATAAATCCATATTCATTCATCACAATTTGCCCTCTCCCCATTTTCTGGGTAATTCGGCTCGGATGAAATCTTTTATCAATCGAAACAGACGAGGGACAAGGAAACGATTATAGGGCGAGCGAGTCGCGTGTTATAAAAATGATACTCAACTATTGTATTTCTTCAACGATTTAAGATATTGAAAGTAAAATAATAATAAAAAAATTTTAGGTAATTTTTTTAATTTTTGTGTTCTCTGACAATAAGAAGACAATAATTTAATCGTTATCAATTTTGTATTAGATAATTTTCTGTCTCATTGTTTTAGGCAGCTATTAAATTTCCAATATCTAACGAAGCACAAACCACTTCACCGCTAGATGGGTCGTGCGTTCCTATTCGAATTAATAAGATAATAGATCTACTATATAGTTAGTAGGTATCATAGAAATTCTACTAATTATTTAACGTTCGATACATGTCTTGTGCAACTACCAGCTAATTGATTTTGTATATCTGTGTTAGATTGTAAGAATTTACGAAGAAGTATTTTCTTTCGGATTTGTTTTTTTTTTATCTTAAAGATATTATAGGTTGTTAAGTGCAATTACTCTGATATACAACGTAAATATTATCGTCGACGTTGATATGAAGAAACCCACGTACAGATAACGTAAAACTAACAGATTTGTTTACATCTTTGTTGACGTAATACCTATTTACTTATTTTGATGTATATTTTATTATACTTGTTCGAGAAACACGCAGAAACGTCAAGTAAAAACGTCAAAACCTCGTATGTCTCGCCACGGTGATGGGAGTTCTAATATATAATCATATTTTACAATAGGCGGTGTGTTCGCTCAGTACATTAGTAATATTAATATCTAATTTAATTGAAGACAAGTCGAGTAAATTTCTAAGTGTTTATAACTTTCAGTGCGACTTTTTTAAATCTCTTGAAATTTTCACGCCGCTAGTATTATAATTTTATTTTAATTGAATAATCGGCATATAAAAGTGGTGGATATAAAATTAGGAATAAAGTTTAACTTATTCTAAATCCAAACCATTTTGATACAATTCACCGCCGGTCTAGTTATAGGAATGGCGTTAAACATCTTCGAACGTTCTGGAAGAGCATCAATTTCTCCATATTCCATAGTGCATTTTCTTAACACAAAATTCATAAAAATATTTTATTGCTACTAAAAGACAGCGCTTGTTTTGCCCATCTTTTTTCAATAGTTGAGTGAAATCAGAGAAATAAGTAATTTCTAAAACGAATTAAAAACGAGTGATTAGGTTTTTCTAATTATATGTCCACCGTTATACGCAGGCGCGACTATGCCACACCGAATGCACTTTAAATATTTTAGGCGGGAATTTTACAGAATTAAGACTTCATTTTTAAATAATGTAGGTACCCGTTCAACCGTATTGTTCGGAAAGTATTCATGATCATAACATAATTTCTTATTTCGATCAGCATCATAAATGAGAATATTTATTTTTTAACTTGATACACTAATGTCTGTTGTTGTCTGTGTTGAATCTGAAAATACCCTGCGTTAATTTTGTCTAGTATAATCCTCTATATCTTTTTTTTTTTCTAATTATTAGTACTCACATGTTTACAAATGTCTGTCGCGTTACTATAATACCGTGTCTCGAATATATTAAGTGTATAATCTATGATACCGTGCGTGTCACGTCATCATGTTGGATCATGCGTCGGATCATCTTCAATAAAACATCTCAAAAACACCGGGTGCATTGGACTAATGCTAGTGTACACAAGCTTCAGATTCTGTTGTACTAATATTATCACGTCGACGACTACATATTGCAAACTCTTAAACAATTACTAAATAAAAATAAAAGAATCGAGTGACATTGCTATTTCAGTTTAATTCGTACAAAACTATTGTAATTTGTGTTGTGTTTATGTTAGTGTATAACGATTTTAAACGTCGCTTTGTAACTAGAATTAAACCGTCCTTTATTTGTATCTCATTTTAATTCTTATATATTGTGTATAAGTTGTAGATGGTACACGCGAATCGTATTGAAGCGAACTAAAGAAGAATTGCCAATAGATTTGCTGTAAATACTTTGGTAGATAAGCAATTTCGAGAATATTCTAAACTCTATCGAGGTTAGTTTGGGTCGTGGTGGCCGTCAACATCTTCGTTAAGTATATTTGATATTATCTGGATGTATTAAAAGTTTATTTGTTTATTGTATTTTTAAGCTATTGCATAGCTTCTATCGCGAGCCTTGAGCGCGGCGACTGAATCAAGAAATTCCGTAACGAAAATAACCTGACACCCACCCACTACGCCTACTATGTAGCTCGCGTTCAACACATTCACACGTTGCGCTTGTGTAGTGTTTGTGAATAAGCGCGTGGCGTGACGTCGCACTGTCGCATGCACATCATGAAAAGTCTGCCCATCTCTCCCTCGCGCGGTCTAGGTTATGAGTGTGAAGGGGACAGTTAATGTTTTGCTTTTGTTAATGTTTATAAATATAGCGTGGTCTTATTGTTGTTTTAATATTAAATTATTATTGTCGATTTATAATTGCATAAGTTGATAAAAAATCCTGTGCAATAGCTTTACCGCAGCAGTCTCCGAGTGCCACACGTGTTTTTTTTAATGGTGCCTTAGCGTGTTGTCTTTGTATACTGTAATCGCACGTTCGAACTCTGAATGCGGCTTTCAGTAAAAAACCTTTTTTCATTAGACGATCACATTCTTTCAGCGGTAGTCGTTCATGGGCACAGCTATATATATATATAGTTAAAAAATACGGTGTCAGCGCTTGCATCGAACCACGACACAATCGCACGACTTCAAGTATACCGGACGTCTTAACTATGAGACGTCTATGTTTTTTACCTTCATGATTTACAACGTGTTCTACCCGTATTCTGAATATTTTTACTAATGTATTTCTTTTTTGGGTGGTGGTATTATTATTATTAATCTTTTGTATTAATGTTTTTACTCAGTATTGAAATCAGATCTTAATTATAGCGTTAGTTGATATTGAACAAAAAATCCTCGACGTTAGAAGAAGCATAAAGTCGGATAAATGTGATTAAAATTTTTCATATTGAACGTTACATAATTTATATCGGTCTGGTCTATCATAGATGCGATCATTTCATGGATATAGTTTTTAAATAATCAATGCAAGCATTCATGAAGAGATTGTAAATAAAAGACAATAAATTATGATTGTAGACAATAATACGTATAACGTCTTCATCTTTCATCACGAGATCTCGTCTGTAATATTCAAATCTGAGTATTACATCAGTCAGCGAGAATTACAGTGCGTTACTTATAATGAAACAATTTGTAAAATCCACAAACTTGGATTCTATCTAACACAGCACAGGCCGAATGCTTCCGATGTGGGACCGTTTTAAAAGCGGTTTTCTCAAAAACCTATCCGACTTTACATTTCCTTCTCATTTTTTATCAATTTAATTATTTTTATTGATTTTTATTTTAAGTTTACAACCATAGGAAAAACCGTGTTGAATTTAAACAATTCTATAAATTTAGGTTTTATAAAATGTTACGTAACACACTGATATTACATCACAGAGAATTTTGTTTGTTTTAATTTTGATAATATGTTTGTACAAACAATAATAGGCAATCGGACATCAAAATTAAACAATACAATGACTAAGGTTAGTGTATCTTAATATAATAAAAACAGTCTTTCAATAACCATTTTTTAAGAAATGTTGTAT